TTAATCTCACGAAAGAAGTAAAAGATCTGTACAGGGGAAATCATAATACCCTGAAAAAATAACTTGAAGAGGATCTCAGAAAATGGAAAGACAGTTCATGGATAGGAAGAATGAATATTGTAAAAATGACCATTCTCCCAAAACTGTTATACAGATTTAATGCAATCCTGATAGAAATGCCATCAACATACCTCATAGATCTAGAGAAATGTCTCTTAAAATTCATCTGGAACCAGAAGTGACCTAGAATAGGAAAGGCAGCTCTAAGCAGCAAAGGCAGGGCAGGAGGCATCACAGTCCCTGACTTGAAGTTATACTACAAAGCAACTGTAATAAAATCAACATGGTACTGGAATAAAAAGTGATCTGAAGGTCAAAGGAATAGATTAGAAGATACAACCACAACTACAAACACACTCAACCACCTTATTTTTGATAAAGGGGCCAAACATGTTCACTAGAAGAATGAGTCTCTTTAATAAATGGTGCTGGAAAAATTGGATCTCCACATGCCGAAAACTAAAACTAGACCCATGCCTATCACCATATACTAAACTAAAATCTAAATGGTTCAAAGATCTGAATATTAAACCAGAAACACTAAATCTCTTGGAAGACACATTGGGTAAAAACCTTGAATACATAGGGGTAGGTAGAGAATTCCTGAACAGGAATCAAATCACATGGGAAATACTTCCTAGAATCAATAACTTGGATCACATCTTATTAAAAAGTTTCTGCATGTCAAAAGAAATCTCCAGCATAGTGAAAAGAAAATCCACAAACTGGGAAAAAATCTTAGTGAACTGTCCCTCAGACAAAGGACTTCTGTCTAAAACATATAAAGAATTTTAAAAAATCAGACCCCCAAAATTCAAAGACCCAATCCAAAAACGGGCATCAGAGAGGAATACACAGTTCTCAGATGAAGAAATACAAATGGCAAATAAATACATGAAAAAATATTCATCATCATTGGTCATTAGATAAATGCAAATAAAAACCACCCTGAGATTCCATCTTACTCCAGAAAGAATGGCCAGGATCAAGAAAACTACCAACAACGAGTGCTGGTGAGGCTGTGGGGAAAAAGGAACTCTCCTGCACTGTTGGTGGGAGTGTAGACTGGTGCAACCACTGTGGAGATCAGTCTGGAGACTCCTCAAAAAGATGAGATTGGAAGTCCCATTTGACCCAGCTATTCCACTTTTAGGCATATTTCCCCAAAGAACTGAAAACATCATATCAAAGTGATATATGTGTGCCCATGTTTATAGCAGCACAATTTGTAATAGCGACATCTTGGAAACAATCTAAGTGTCCGTCAACTGAGGAAGGGATTAAAAAGTTGTGGTATTTTTATACAATGGAGTACTACTCAGCTATAAAGAATGATCACATTTGAGATATTTTATATATAAATGGATGCAACTTGAGACCATACTCATAAGTGAAATAAATCAAACTCACATGTATAAATACCGTATCATCTCCCTAGTGTAAGAAATGGTAAAAGTGCATAAGAGTTTATGGTAATCATGATTCCCCATTACATTGCTTTGAAGCCTTATAGTGCTTGCATCTATTATTTGGATTGGTTTTATCCTGGTTTGTTTGATTTTACTATCTGTGATAGTATGAACAGCTATTTTGAAGAAAACAAGACATTATAATAGCCAGTGCTGATTTAATATCATCTGACTCTGAAGTCCTACTATGCTTTTGTTCTTCTGTTTCCATTGGGTCTACTGTATTATATCTTATTGGATTTTATTTTGTGTGATAGTATAAACAAATTTTCTATGGAAAATGAGATAATATAGTAGCCATTGTTTGTTCTCTGCTATTTGGTTCTGAAAGCCCTGTAATGCTTTCAGTCTCTTGAATGGTTTTATACTGTTTTGTTATGTTTGATACTATCATATATGAAGCTATACTCAACTGTTTCATAGAAAGAGACATTATGGTAGTTACTGTTAATTATGGGTTGTCGTGGTAAAATGCTGTGTTGTTTGCATTGTTCTGATCTGATCTGCTTTGTTATGTCCTCTTTTTCTTAATCTCTTTCAAATAAAAAAATTTTAAAAAGAATAAGACAATAATATAAATCGATATGAAAGTATAAAATTCATTAATAGAAAAGCCATACTCAAATTCATAATTCATTAGTAGAATAATAGTGTATTAATTCTCTAAACCTAGTATAAAGGTTAAAGTCAAAATGGTCAAAAATAACTACAACTACTCTAAATTATTAAGTAATACACAAGATAAATAAATGTGAACTGCAACTGCAGGGAAAGTGGGGCAGGTGGGCAGGGAAAGGCCCAGGGAGGTTTCGGGAAAATCCTGACTAGCCAGCCTGAAATCCTTCCTAGAGAGAGCAATTAGGGGGAAAAGCAGGGAGAAATGATAAGCAGCCTGACTCGGGTTGGTGCCAGAACTCCAGCGGGAGTCTGTGACCCTTCCTCACCTCGAGTTAAGGATAAAGGAGAGGGCTGCATACTAGGACACTTAGTATGTAAAATGCATCCTCACACCTGAACATGCATGACCTGCATGTGGGTAAACAACACTCAGAAAAAAGAAAAGTGAAGTCAGATCTTTTGCAGGAAAACAGGTAGAACTTTGGACCATAATGCTAAGTAAAATAAATCAGACGGAGAAAGTTGAATATCACATGATCTCTCCTGTATGAGAAGCCCAAAATATAAAAATTAAATAAATAAACACATAAACAAATAAAAGGGTAAAATAAAGGAGAGATGATAAGCAACAAGAAGAAAATGTGTTTTAAAGTGCGCCTTAAATTGTGGATTGCGAACAATGTGTTCCATTGGACTTGTGTGGTCACAGCACTTCAGAACCCAGGTTTTTGGAGACAAATCATCAGAAAGGATGAAAGTTGGGTCTCTGGTTATCACCCTGAGACTAAGGTACAGAATTGTCAGTAGAAATCAAAAGCATGCTGATCAAGACACAGCATCAAGGTGATATTATTGTGTTTTTTTTTTTTTTTTTTTTACTTTGACGGAATTGTAGGAGCTGAGTTTGTACCCAGGACTCTACAGTGAACTCAGAATATTATAAGAGCTTGTTAGAGTACTTAAGAAATGATATGGTTGAAACCAGACTGAGAAACAGGCAAACAGGTATTATTCTCCATCATGATAATATTTGAGTTCACACATTGCTTCAGGTATGGCAATTTCTGTCAAATAAAAATATTACAATGTGTCTTCATCTGACAAGGATGTTTTTGGTGTCTGGTTAACTGGGAATTTTTACAATCAATTTTTCTTCATGTATAAAACTGTTCAGGCTTTTTTATTATTCTTAATAAGGTAATTCTTATTTTAAACCAGCTTGCCATTTCTAAATTATCCTCATGAAAAGATGTAAAATGAATATTCTTAGATTGTATTAGCCTATATAATATTAACTGGGTTCTTTTTAGAAATGTTTTATCTAGAATTGTTGAATCTGTAATCAAAAATCCATCTGTGCTTTTACTTTCTGGCAGTTCCTTTTGGTATCTAAATTAGGCTGCTCTTATGAAGCAACTTTAGAAAATGGGTTTTTTCATTCTCTGCTTAAGAATAACTGGTATTCTTACTTAAATATTTGGGGAATGTAATGGTTTGAGTTATTTTTCTCAGTTCCTTATATCTTAGTATGAAATTATTGATTAATTTTTATTTACCCATGGTTTTTGCCCCATGACTTTGCAATATTGTCATGTTAGATTAGAGAGTTATACTGCACATTCTCTTTTATTGATGCTGTTTGGTATTGTATCTTATTTCCCCAATTAAGTACAAGCTTTTGTGACAGGAAATTTTGACTGAATTTGGCTTAGGTTTTATGCTTTTAAAGTATTCCTTGAAAACAGCATGTCAAGTAGTAACTTTGTGGTAGATCGTAAATTACAACTTCTATATCTTAAGGGGATACAATCTTACTTATATTTTATTCCACATTATTACATTTTACAAACAAAAAAAGATGCATAAGGGAGAGAGATAATGAATTGTATATTATCTAAAAACTTAAATTTATTGACCTTAAATTGTTCTTACGTCCAGAACATTCTTAAGATTACATTTTATGAGCTGGTATTAATAATTTTATCAATTCTCTTTTTATTTTTACCTGTTCAGTTATTTTTTATAAATTTTGAGTATGTCCAAATACTCAGTTTTTGTCTTTGTGTATTTTTATTTTTATTCTTACATGTTTCTTTATCCTTTTTTTCTACACACTAAATTTGAGTGTAATTACTGTTTTATAGTAAATTAATTATAGGAGTAATAAATACATTTTTCATTATTGTCTGTTCTATAACATGCATCTCCTTGCGATTAAAACTTTAGGATCAAATGTAGTTTTGTTTTAGAAAGGAGAGACGTACCTGTGTTGTATAGATTTTAAAACGTCTGCCTTGACAATAGAATTAGGATAACTATAATTGACAGTGCCTCTCACATAATTCTCAGTTCAGATATTTGTGTCAATATAGTATTTACTAAATGATGTTGCATGGTCAGCACATAACTTTATACTGCAATGATGCAGAAAAAACTTGAAAGATAATCTTGACTGGTAAGTAAAATATACATTCCTGTCTACCTTTTCAAAAGGGAAATATTGTGTACTAACATGCAAGAGGGGTTATCCAATGTTATAAAAACGAAGTCACTTTATTTGATTGTCTAATTCTTCCACAATCTGAGCTCTCAATTTACTTTTTGAGACGATATAAAACAGGAAAGCAAATGAATCCCAAGACTCTATATTAATAACAGCAATGTTTGCTACAATAGCATAACTGTTAAGTGCATAAGAAGCCCCGGTAGCCAGCATCTGTTCATACGACAACAAAATCCCACCAAAATAAAAATTTTTCCTGCCAATGCTAAAAACAAAGAACAATTTATATATTTATAGATGCTAGGATGGTAGCACACACCTTCTTTTACATTTGTATATTCTACATTTACCTTTCGGTGGCAGATAACGTGACGCTCCTGCTTCCATCTTCTGACACAGAACTATAAAATTGATAAAAATCAGTTTTAAGGTTGAGAAAATCTTAAATCTCATGTTAGAGGACTATTTGAAAGCTCTTCTTTAAGCTAACAGCATCCCTTATATTTCTTCCTTGATTTACAGTGCCACTTATTATTAAGCCCATTGGCTACATGGCTATTTTGACTGGCTCAGTGACTTAGGAAGCTAACGAAACCTGCATGGCAGACAGATCGCCTCCTACAGGGATTCTGGTGGCATACTGAGTGGTTTTCGTGATGAATAAGACTGGAAAACAGTGAACATTAAATCAGCTTCAAATGTATCTCTGTAATTTTCCTAATATTGCCTTGTCTATAGTCTTAGATATTCCTAATAAAACATACTTACTAGTTTTGACTTATTCAACATTAATGAGTAAATATGCAGACACATTATTTACATATATATATAAACATATATGTATACACATACCTCATGTGCTCTTTTTCCCCTCTGCAGAACAACTTTCCCAATTGATTCTGCTTTATTAAAATAGCAGCAACAATAATTATCACAGGTATACCAATGTAGAAAATGAGTTGAAATCTTTTTGTTGAGAGAACAACATATCCTCTCCTCATGTTAATTTTACGAAATCCACTTGTTTTTGCTGGAATGGAAAATATTGATTCTAAATTGTCTTAGACACTTCATTAGCCAAATTAAAAGGTAAAAAGGATAGCATTACCAACATCATCCCCAAGCATTAAACATCCATATATGATGATTACATTATGAGAACAATAAAAAATACCTAACCAATGTATATAAATATGCCATTACTCATGTTTTACTGATATTTTTTAACTCATTAGATTGTATAATATTTGCAAATTTATTTAATCTTTTTTCCAACTTGCTCACTCACCCTGCAGAAGTTGCTTTGAACTGGTTAATACTGGTTAAAGACTGGAGTAGTTATAAGGTGCATGCTGAAAAAGCCTATGTTACCATGAAAGGACTGTTGTATACGCATTGGTTCTGGAGAGGGCCAAGAGAGGAGAGAGGGCTGGAAAGAAAGCTTCCATCTTCTTCGAGAATACATAAACAATCATGAACAGAATGTTGGCCGAATATGAATATTAAAGAGGCTTCCAGGCTCAGACAGAAGAAAAAAGGAACATGTTATTCGACAAGAAATAAAAGATTATGTCCATGACAAAATTAAAAAAAAAACCTTGGCTAAATGATATTCTAATGTTCTGTGGAGGATGGAACTCAGTTCCGAAATTGTACAGATAGCCACGATTTCTAAGCAAAATGTCGAAGCCATGACTCGTGTCTTCCAGATCACTTATGTTAAAATGCCAAAGGGATGAGATGGATTAAAAAGCAATTGTGGAGCAATTTTCATCTTATCCATATTTCACAAAGCAACAAAACATACTCTGTAGTTAATACCAAAAATGGTCTGAAAATCATTTGATGAAGATGTAATAGGTATGAACCATGGGTTAAATCAGCCATCTCAGCAGGAGTCAGGAATACGGATTAACCAGAAGAGATAAGATTTATACCAGCAGAAGCGCTGTCACTCTGGTTCAAGGGTTCAGACTGGGATAGCAGAGCTACCTGGCTACGAAAATGATGTATCTTTTAAGAAAGGAGAAGAGTGAGCTGGCAGGTACCTCCATAATCACTGGGGCTGCCATCACCCCTACAAACCAAGGAGGCACAGCAGCCTCCCCTTGGTTTCAGAGGAAGGGGACCCCTCTTCTGTGTCTGTGGCCCTGGATGCCGCAACGCAGTGCATCGTAAGTAGAACCATTACAAAGACAGCACGGATGGGGCAGCTCTCCAGAACTGAAGGAGCGGAGTCATGGCCTGTCATCAAGGGCAGAGGGGGAAACACAACGCTAAGTGTTACCACTCTCAAGTTTCAAGATTCAACGGATCCTGCCTTGCTAGCTTTTTTTTCTTTTTCATTTGGATTACATAATAGTTATGTTCATTTTGGGGAAATGGTAAGTAATTGACATATGTTCAACATTTTTATCCCCTTTCCCCTCCACTTCTCACTCTTTGATCCCACTTTTCCCTTCTCCAAAAAGTTTGCCCTTATTTTACTCTTTACCTTGTAGGTGTGGACTTGCTTGGGACCCGGAACCCTTCCTTCCTTCCCACCATTCCTCTTTGGAGTACACAGCCTACATAGGTCCATCTCGCCATTGTACTTCACAATCACTTGTTTGGTTTCACAGAGTCACAGCTTTGAAGAATTTTCATCTTACATAGAATCATACTTTAGATCTCACTTATACTATGGACTTCCGACTGGCTGGAATGAGTGAATATTTGGAGGGATGTTGGGATAGAAACTCACTTTGCACGTAAGAAAGGCAAGAATTTTTGGGTTCACATTGTATAATATTATGGATAAAACTGTCACCTTCTAAACTCATATCTGGAAGTCCCAATCCCCAGTGCAATGGTATCAGGAAATGGGGCTGTGGAAGGTAATTAAGGTTAAATGAAGTCTTAGGGTAGGCTCTCGCCTGATAGCAATGCTGTCCTTAGAAGGCAAACAAGAAATTCTCCTTCACACACATGCACAGGAGAGGTCACGTAAAGATGTAGTCAGAAGCCTTTCTGCAAAGCAAGAAAAGAGCCTTCGTCTGACACCAAATTTGCCAGCACCTTCAATATGGACTTTGAGCGTCCAGAAGTTAGAAAATAAATGTATGTTAAGATGCCTGGCTTGAGGGGTAAGGATTTGGCTCAGCAGCACAAGCGCCTGCCTGGCAACCATGCGATAGTTGAGTTACATCCCTGGTACCAAGAAAGAACCCTTTGCTTGCAGCATTTAATTATGGTAGCCTGAAAGACCAAAAGACCAATATGGTGTGTTTTAAGAAGGAATGTACAATAACACTTAAAGTCCAGGATATTCTATGGAGGAAAAAATAGTTTTGAATTTCCTATAAAGTTTTTTCTCAACCACATTCACGACCAATGATCTCAAGAGCTGCAGAGCGAAAAATAACAATGTCATATTTAAAAGTTTCAAAGATAATATATGATCATTTCAATAGATGCTATATATGAATCTAAAAATATATTTATTTTTAAAAACTACTTAGAAGGAATGAATATTTTCTAAGCAAAATATGTTTCATAAAAGGTAGGAGTTTTTATGATAAAAACTAGAGATTTTTCCAAAGAATAAAATAATGAATATCATTTTCATGATTTTTAAATTTCTGAATGAATTATCCATTGAAATTGTAAAATGGGAAAGGGAGAGAGGATAAAGGAAAGGACAGTAACCGAAGAGATGGAGAGATAAATTATTATTTTAAAAATGGGGCAATTAATTGTATTTTACATCATTTAAACATTGTCAAACCAGAAACATTACCTAAAAGTTTTCTAAAAATAGTAACATTTCATTGACACAATTTACACCCAAAACTCAGTAGGCTTTCTATATTTAAGAAGCAATGTGACAGACAGAAAATATCTTCTTCTCATACCAATTTTCAAAAAAATTATAACAGACTTAAAAATTAAAACAATAATTCCTGATCCATAAAAAATGCTTCTAGAACTGCTTCAGTACCTACAGAGAAATAAAAACACAAATAGACACCACTTCCCACTTATCAGGAAGCCGGCTAACACAGAACACGTGCAGGCAAGGACGTGGAGAAACTTGATCATGAGGGGAGAGTGCAAAATGCAGCGACTGCTGTCAAGTAGCAGAGTATTCCTCAAAAATTTCCAAATAAAATCACTAGATGATCTAAAAATTTCACTTCTGGGCAAATGCTCAAAAGAACTGAACATAAAGTCTTGACATATGGCAGGTGTAAGTGAAAACATTGGTGCGTGTTTAATTTTTAATTTTTGAAAACAATTTAATACCGTTAAGACACACTGCCATTAATACCCACACTGTCCCTCACTTGGAGCACATAATTCATCTCTTCATTCTTGCCATTTTGTGAAGTCCGCTTTCACGGGTGTTTTTAGTCACGCTCTTCTGACTGCCTCAATGTCCTAGTGTCTCAAAGGAACATCTATCTTTGCTGTTGATGTTGACTTTGAGTAAGAGCCAGAATTTGCGCAGTACCGGATCCAGTGAGTGAGACGGACAAGGATGCACTGCCATGTGTTTTCCAAGCCTGCCTTTCCATTTCTGCACTTTTGATCACATGTCATAAAGACAAGCAAAATGGAAGATCCTGAGTCCTGCCTCAGAAATGACAAGAACTAGGGTTTAAATGTATTCCCAGGGCGGGAGTAATGTGAGGCAGAGCGATGGCAACGAGCATTTCACACACATTTTTACTATGCCTAGTATTTATAAACATGTGATCATAGTCATTATTCATAATAATCAAAATGTAAAAATAACTTGCGTCTGTCAACAAATGAGTACATAAACAAAATGTGTAACCATTCAAGAATATTATGTAACCTTTAAAGGTCAGTGAAGTTCTGAAACATGCTGTAACGTGTCTGAATATTAAGGACACCATACCAAGTGAAACACATGTGTTTGTCACTTTTCTCACTGCTGAGATAAAGTGTCCGACACCCAAAGTAAAAGGAGGAAAGATTTATTTAGCTCGCAGTTTGTCGAGGTTTCAGTCCATAATTCCTTGGCTCCAAGGCAGGGTTACATGGCCAAGAGGCAACAGTTCATAGTAGCAGAAGGCAACAAAAGCAAAATCCACCAATCCAATCAAACACCCTTAATTCCAGTGTCCTGTGGTCCCAGCATTGCACTAGGAATCAACCACACATTCCAGGCTCAGCTACTCCTAAAAAAGCCCTATGACTGCGTGAGACTTTGGGGTGACATCTAGACACAAACCATAACAAATAGACAAGTCACAAAATGACAAGTACTGTATGATTCTAACTATGTAAGACAAGTAGAGTAGAAAAATTTACAGAGAAAAAGCAAAATGGTAGGTTCCAGGATCTGAGAAGCCAAGGAATGGGCACTTGGTGTTTAACTGGCAGCAGTGATGGAGAACCCTTTAGAGCTTTCAGTGATGTAACAAACAGCCCTCTCTGGCAGGCAGGCCGTAGGTTCCCACCGCTGGTATAGAGCATCAGTTTTATAAGACTGAAACATTTCTGAAGAAGGATGTGGTTGCACATAAATGTAAAACAATAATTTACTTAATGCCACTGAACTTTATACTAAATTATTAAAATGGAAACCACTGCAATGTGCAATTTACCATAATTAAAAATGGACATTTGTGTGTGTGCTATAAAAAAATCAAACAAACCAAGAGAGTAGATTGACAAGGTTACTACACGTCAAGTGGCAGAATTACACATCTCTTATAATCGTAAAGGAAAAAGAAGGCCTCACAGAATTGAGGAACTGTAAGCAGAATATCACTTTTCGGCCTCTTATACTTGTCAAATATTAAAAAGACTAATAGTAATCCTTGAAAATAGGAATAATGTATGAAATTATTAGTGGTAATCTCTGGTAGGTTAGGATTACATAAAAAGTATTAAAAGAAAAATATAATGTGAGATTAAAACATACTTTTTATAATTTTACATTATGGCTGGGGAATTAATTCTGTGGCAGAGCACATAGTTAGCATTTGTGAGGACTTGGGCTCAATCCCCAGCACCACCAAAGAAGAGACGAAAATTCTACATAAGTAGACAAATAAATGTTTGAAATATGTGTATTTAGATTATAGAATTTGCAAAAATGGGTTCTCATATCCATAAGCACTCAAATATTATGTTTATGTTTACAGTTGTATATATGTGTGGGTGTGTGCGTACATGTACTAATGTGTGTGTTTGTTTTTAGCATTCTTTGAAAATGTCCATAAAGTAGTACAAGAGTTGATAGTGCATCTAACTACAAATAATAATACCACATATAATCCATAATTTGAGGACTTTCCAGGCTTATCCTATTAATATAAATCAGTGAGGTTCAAAATCAATAGAACAAGAGAAATAACAAAACCTGGGCTCCTTAAGACAGTTTTCGCCTCCTAATACTGACAAATGGATTAGGATCGTAAGGATTGCTTCCATGGTAAGTCCCAGGAGCATCAAAAGACATAAAGAGATTCCTATTCTAGATGCGAGGCCCTCTAAGTGAAGGGGCAAAACATGCAGCCATGTACCACACCAGCAGAGGGAGCTCCAGGTACAGCCATGAGCCCCAGGTCTGGAGCAGAGTAAGTGGAGGCTCACTAGTGAAAGGCTTTCTTTCCTACTGCCATCTGGACCCAGAGGGTACCAGTTACATACACGTAGGCTTTTCTAAGACTGTCCTTGTTGTAGTACCGAACATCTCACATACTGGTGAATCCCTCACTAGGATAGGAACTATCTGGCTTTTTACAGACAGTAGCATAAAAGAACAAAATCCATATAAAAATATAAGGATTAAAAGCAAACGTTTTCAGTGTCAAATGAACATAGCACAGATTTTTTATCTTCTATAGTCATTATAGATTATGGAACCCACAATCTGTGGTTCACCTTGAGTAATGTGATTTAAAGACCTTGAACTTATGAATGCTAACAGTCCATCTTTGGCTTAATCTGTGGAATAACTATTGTAATTTGTATTAAGATATAATTTAAGTTTTCATTATTGGGACTACAGTAGCTGTGCTAATTAACAACTCAGATGATGTAATTGGGAGCAGCTGTACTAGCAAAACTGTAACAACTCAAATACCACTAAACTAGACAAAATGACTGTGATTTTAGTTACAGGAGGAAGGAACAATGCACAATATGCAAAAAAATGATTTGGGACTGGACATGATGGAGAAGGGGTTATGAAAGCACATATGGTAACAGAATGTGCAATATGACAAGTTCACATGTCTAGGAAAATATAATCAAGTACTTCTAAACCAATCAGATATTTGTCATCCAAATCAAGTAATTTGTTTTGCCAAAAGACAACAATGTCCTGGCAAAACAACTATTGTTGAGTAAGCTTGGGTACAGAACAGATATAAGCATATCTTATTATTCATTCTCTAAACAAAAGACCGTTACCATTCTGAACAAACACTGCAGACTTGATGTATCTACATCCACATTTAGCTACCACTAGGAATTTAAATATTTGCAACTTCTATTGAGTCTATAATACATATCTTACTACAGAAAGGAGGGAAATCTCACCTGCTAAATACACTGCATATCTTACAGATTACACGAAGTGGGATACAGCATCTCAGCTTGGGATACAGAGTTTCATAATGCAAGCTTTTGGTTACTGCATTGGTCAGTAACATCCAAGAAACAGAGAGATGGAAGAAGTGACAAGAAAGGAAAGGGCCAGGGTGAAATACAGTCCCTAAGGTCACATCTCCATTACCGATGGAGACACACCCCGCAGTACGCTTTACTAAGCTCCCTCCTGTCTCTTGACCGAGCAAACTGACAGTCAAGATTAAGTTACTTTCAGTTTCCTCTATGTACATAGACTTAATCTGAATTTTTCATTTTATGAAATGGACAGAGATATTCCTTAGATATGTATGTGTACAAGATGATTATCACTGTTGCCTGATACCGGAACTATGTTAACATATTGTCCTGCCATAAAATCTTATTTTAAAATGTGGGATAAGAAATTACTTGTGAAGTTGACTTTAGTCAGTTTTGCTTATATATATATATATATATGTTTTTAAGGACATCTTAAAAGATACAGGCAGTTCAGAGAAGTGTTATCATAATGAAACATAAAAGGTAAAAATACCTGATTGAATCATAGGACAAATAGAAGCATATGATTTTTATTATATATAAAAGGAACATTTATGTATAAGAACATATCTATCTAATGACTCCTATTGCACTTATGTCCTCTAAAATTCTTACATTTGTAAATAGTACTTTTACAGTATGTAATAATATAGCCTATATAATTTAAACATCCAACAAAGAGGTTTTTTTAAAAGTTAAATTACTGCTTCATGGGAAGTTATGTTTTTTTATTATAAAATGCTGATATAATTTTCTCAGAAACAGCATTTGTTTAGCTGTACTATGAAATACTATTAATTCATAGAGTGTATTACTCCTTTTGTTTTATTTAAACAATGATATCTATGCAACTTGACAGAAAACACAGAAAAATATGCAATTCAAATAAATGTATCTTCCATGTTTTGTAAAAATAATAATTTATGCATTCCACATCTCACATATATCATATCTTAGATCATTATGCTTTTCTTTTAGCTTGACACGTGATTTGATTGTATGTTGCATCTAAAAATTTGGTAGCCTCATAACATCCAAGTACACAAAATTGTGCCCAAGGCTTTTCATAACTGCTTTCTGAGGCCCATAGGAAGGCAGGTAGAGTGGATGGCCCAACTGTTGCCCTATCTTCCAAAAGGTCAATACCTTATGAAACAAAGGACAACCCCTAGTTTTTCCCAGTCTCATCCATGTTTGTTTGACCTCAGAATGCTACTCAAGAACAAACGAAGTGAAGTGTAAAAGAGCAAATTTCAAAAGCTTAATTGGAGCCCTTACAACACAGACAGAAAAGCTATTATGAAGCCTACAAGAAGAAAAGTCAGACTGAATGCTTTCAAGGGCATCAGTATCATATGGAAAAGATGGCTCACACTATTGAAAAATAGGAGTATTTGAAACAATCCAGTGAACTATCTTAATTTACAGGACAAATTATACACAATGAAATTTCCACTTTGGGAATTTTCTGACACTGTACACAATTTTTCTTTAGTTATCAATGTCAGTGCTGATACAGAAAGAACAGTATGAACTCACTTGATCACTTTATAAAGTCATGTTTGTTGGCATCAGTTGCTTTGTAATATACCTGCAAATCTATAATTTATTCAATTATGAGTTTTATTTAATTAATGCAATTTTAAGGATACTAACTTGTTTCTACCAAATGGCCATCATCAAGACTTCCAAATTGTCCTTTCTTCGGTGCGCATTCAGGAGGGACAAACCCTTTGTGACAGTGACAATTATCAAGATTGTTGCAAATCTAAATTAATAAAAAGGAATAATTTCCATCTGTGAAACATCAATTTTTAATATACAAGTGTTTATTTGTAATATGGAAACAAAAAACAACAACAGTAGGCATAAAACCTAATTATGGCTTGAAGGTAATGATTTTTATACATTCACTTATTGCATATTGGAAATATTTAAATGAATGTTTAAAATAGTCTCAGTAAGACTGTATTTAAACATACATTTTCTATCCCACTTATTCCATGTACTGATGATCTGAGAATCAAAAGGTGCAGCCCTCAAGAAATTGTTAAATCACTAAGGAAAAAGAAATAATCAAACTTTGTTAAACAAAGATTACCTTTTGAAACTTCATATCAGAATTAAAATATTTAAAATGATTTTCTTTATTTACATATAAGCACATTTATATGTTGTTAAACTTATGTCAAACATTATCAATACAAATAGAGGTATTCTGGAACACTATGCAAAATTTTAAAAGCATTTTATTACATCATTAATTCACTTACTATTTCAACAGTTTTCAGTGTCCCTTTTAGAATTTTAAAGTCTTCGTAACTAAACTCCCTGACCTTAGTTTTAGTCCCCTAGTCTAATTAAGACCTAGCACTCTTTGTTACTCAGAAACTCATGAATAAAATCACATATTCATCAGATTCTATCCTTTAAATAAATTTTATTACTTTATTTACCAGAATAATTAGGTGCAAGGCCTCCGTATGATACTCCAGAGGTACATCTTGGTTAACCACATGGGTCCTGGAAGCTCTAAATTCTGCCTAGCCAGGCACAAGAGCCTGGTGCCAAAGTCAGGGGTGCACCTCACCTTACCATGTGGGTACCATAGGTTCAGAAATCTACCCAGTCAGGCGTAAGGCCCTAGCACTACACTATGGTGATGCATCCCTTCTGGCCACATGGGTCCTAGAGGATCCAAGCTCTGGCAGCTCAGCATCCCAGTGAAATCCATCATGGGAACATCCTACCAGCAGCACAAGTCCCAGAGATGCTGAGCTCTGCCTAGCCCAGAGGTCCAGAGCTGTACATCAAAGAGAAATCACAGGTCCTAGAGATTTTGAGCTGTGCTCATCACAGCACAAGGCCCTGGTGCCATAGTTTGGGAGTGCATCTCTCCTATATCCACACAAGTAATGGATTACACAAGCTCTGCCCAGCCCAGCATCCCAGTGCAGGCTATCAGGAGGGTTCCTGACCAGCCACACAGGTCCCCGAGGAAAGTGGCAAAATGAAAGAGCAAGATGCAGTCTCAGACCTCCAGCCACTGAGAAGAAACTCAGGAAACACTGAAATGGAAGACCCTGGAAATCACACAACTGAACTTTCTGAAATGATAGCTACTGAAGTAAAGACACAACTCCATGAAGCATCAGATCAGAAATCTCCTCTCAGAAAAAAAAGACAAACATTATGAAAGAAATGCTGAATGTCTAAAGAATATGTAGATAAAAACAGAGAAACATGAGGAAATGAAGTGATATAAACTTTAATGGAAAATATAAAACAGAATTAGAATGCAGGAAACAAATTCAAACAAATATTCAGGAAATTAAAAATTCCATTGAAACTGGAAAAACTGCTTGAATGAAGTTGGATAGAGTCTCAGACCTTGAAGACAGGATGGAAGCTAAGATCTCTTAAAAAAAATAAAACAAGGAACCAGGAAACAACAATTCCACAGATTCAAAATGATACAAAGAGAAATAACATAATTTTGACAGGTGTCAATGAAAAATCAGGAAGCAACAAAAATGAGATGACATTGACAGAAATAATAGCAAAAAAAATGTTCAAGCATGGGAAAAGAATATGATATGCAGATAAGTGATACATATAGAAACTCAGCCATAACCAACATTAATCTTCACTCAGATATGTAATAATCAAGATCTCAGAAATTCAGCACAAGAGCAGAATACTAAAAGTGGGCAGAGAACACAAACAGATCACCTAGCAAGGAAAACCTATCAGAATCATGGCAGACTTCTCAACACAAACCTTCAAGTCAAGAAGAGCTTTGAGGTAATTATTTCAAGTTTTGAAAGAAAACAGCTTTCAACCCAGATTGATGTACCCTGTGCAAAACTATCTTTCTAAATTGAGGGAGAAATAAAATACTGTCATGAGAAGGAACAACTGAAGAAGTTCATGACCACCAAACCAATACTAGAAAGCATACTGAGAGACACTCTAGAAAGAGATACAATGACTACAGTTCCAATAACAACAGAAGAAGGAAACCACCAAACAGGGAAAATACTGAAACAGAGAGAAAAAATAGCGAACCAACAGCAGAAAGATAACATGACAAAGATAAGTCAGTACATACCAGTTATACCCATTGATGTAAATGGCTCAACTAACCAATAAAAAGAAACAGCCTGGCAAAGTGGATTAAGAAACAAAATCCAACATCCAGGAGAACATGGCAGATAGATAACAGCAGCTACAGAGGCTCTCTGAGATCGCCAGCTTAGAATCCAGGAATGATGCAGTGTGAGGAGTCCTAAGCAAGGGGAGATATACTCTGCCGACCAAAGAACAAACTAAGCTGAGAGAAACCAACTGGAAATGCAATCCCGATGCTGTAACAGGAACAGATAAAATCTCAGCACGGAAGCTGGAACCCGCACCTCTGGAAGCCGCAATTTGAATTTCCTGCTGCCACTGCTGTGTCCCAAATGGCACAGCAGGAAGAAAGAGTGCACGAAAGCTCTGAGAGCGGGAATTGGCGAACCAAATGGAGTTGAGAGTGGGACTGGCCGGAAGCCCTGCATCAACCTGTGGTGAGTGAGAGGAACGGGGACACTGTCATAGACTAGGAGGCTCCAACAGAGGACGTTCTGGGACTGGGCAGACTAGCCAGAACAGGATGCTGCAGTGACTTTAGTCGCATATTCTCCTCTCAAGCTCCTCCCACAGAGCAGATTGGTGGGAACTGCTTGGCCTGTTTCATGCCCTGAGCGAGACCCAATAGCCAGGGATGAAGTTGCCCCCAAAATTGTGCTAAATTGATTCTGTGTATGCAGCACACACTAACGTGGTGAAGACCCCCAGTGACTCACTGGCTCTGAGGGAAGGGGCCAGCCTGCACTGCCCCTGCTTATACGTCAGTGATCAGCAGCAAACTGGAGAGGGCAGAAATTCCTAGCCAGCACACTTCAGAGTAACTGTAACCAATACAGAAACGGCCTGGGACCTCCACCATACACCTGTCAAGAAGAAACCAGAAAAACGACAAGAGGAAGAAACAGGAAAAAGTCCTCAGCCACCAACCCAGGGAATATGGGTCCAGGAGAGGTAAACACAGAAGAGATTGAGAGCAGCAAACATGCAATATCGGATATGGCACCAGCTGACATAAAGAAATATCTTCACGACATTATAGAAAAACTCAAAGCAGAAATATTAATACAAGTGAAGCAAGATATAAGAAGATTAATATAAAAGAAATGCTAAGAGTCTCTCAAGAAGATACAAATGGAAGAGTGGAGGAACACAAAAAAGGAGAGAAACCTTCGACAAATAATATTTTATAAATCTATAGTGCATGAAACAGATTCAAAGAGATTACCAGGAAATCAAAAACTCCATTGAAAGCTGGCAAAATTGCTTGAAAGAAGCTAAAGATAGACTATCAAAACTTGAAGACAGGTTTGCAATGTGTGATCACAAAAGCAAAGATCTCTTAAAAATAACAAGGAACCAGGAAGTAACAATACAAAGGATAGAAGATGACAAGAAGATCTATAAATTAAGAATAAAAATGTGAGTGAAGAAGCAGGGGTAAACACAAATGAAATACAAAGGCTATTCACAGAAATAATTAAGGAAAACTTCCCAAGCATAGGAAAAGGAAATGATATTCAGATAAATAAGGCATACAGAACTCCAGCCGCCTACAACTAAAACAGATCTACATCCAGACATATAATAATCAAGATCCCATAAATTCATCACAAGAACAGAATAATAAAAGCTGTCAGAGAAAAGAAACATATCACCTATAAAGGAACACCCATCAAAATCACAACAGACTTCTCAACATAAACCAAATCAAGAAGAGCTTGGAGCAAAGTATTTCAAACCCTGAAAGAAAATAACCTCCAACCCAGATTGATGTACCCTGCAACAATATCTCTCAAAATAAATGGAGAAACAAGATGCTTCCATAACAAAGAGGAACCGGGGGAGTTTGTGACCACCAAGCCAATCCTACAAAAAATACTGAAGGACATTCTAGAAACAGAAAAAAACACTAGGGTTTCAGGAACAGTGGCAGAGAGGCCTCAGTGAACGGGACAGACAGCAGGATGAAGGAGAAAAGACAACCAATGGCAGAAAAATAACAGAGCAGAGATGAGGCAGAGAAGGTTGGCTATACTCTCTAACATAGATGGTCTTGATACACTAACAAAAAGAAACACAGACAGAGTCAATCAGGAGAGAGGATACATTGAGATGCTCTTCATAGGGAATATAATCAACCCAAAAGAGAGTGCATGGACTGAAAGGCAAATATGAGAAAATAATGCTCTATGTGACAGAGAAGTAGGTGCAACTTGTCTAGCAGTTGTAGATAGGTTGAAAGGCCTCACGCTTTTGTGCAGTAGACAACTATTCAGCTGTAGGGAAGGAAAAACTTGAGGCTTTTGTAGTTAAAGGAATACAACTTAAAATCAAGCTCAGGGGTAAAAAGTTTCACAACTACTTAGGTAAATAGTGGGATGCCCCCCTAATCTAAAAACTAAAGGAAATATTAATGGAACCCAAAATGTACAATTCACCCTGTGAAAGTGAAAGAGGAAGAATTGTCTAAAAAAGGAAGGCAGAGGATATTGTTAATAGTGTATCAGGATTTAAAGCCCACATTGTTCTCATCGCTCTGTTTAGTTTGATCATATGCTATTCCAGTCTGTTTACTTGTACTAGACTTGAGGGCACAGACAGCTATTCCAAAAACAGCAGGATATACTCTGGTAACCATCCTTAATTTCCTATTAACTTAATCTGAAGCCCTGTATTACTTACACTGTCTTATTTGAACCTGGTTTGTTAGATCGCTGTCTTGTCTTGACTGATTTTGACTGATTTTATTTGAATCTGTTGTTTGATAGTATCAAATCTGAGAGTATAGGCAACTACTCTGAAGACAGCAAGATTCACTAGGATACCCATTCTGGTTTGACTATTACCTGCTTTGAAGTCCTATAATGTCTCCAATGCTTTGTTTTTATTAATATTGTTATGTGCTGCTATGTTCAATTATATTATGCCTGATGATATAACAATTCTATTGAAGATAACAAGAGACATCATAGTAACCATTGTAGATCACCTTGTGTTGTGGTTTTAATATTGTACTATGTCCATTCTTTTGTTTTGAATGATCCCGTTTTGTTTTGTTTTCTTTCTCATTTGGTTTTATTCTTTTCAGAATAAAATTTTTTAGAAATTTAAAAAAGATTTTGTATGTCAAAAGAAATCTCCAACAGAGTAAAAAGAAAACCCATGAGTTGGAAAAATATCTTAGTCAACTGTCCCTCAAACAAAGGACTTCTATCTAGAACATATAAAGAGTTAAAAAATAAAAATAATTCAGCCTTGAAATGTGTATGTAAATTATTGTCCTTATTATAAAGAGGGAAGAAAAATAGCCTAAAACAGGTGGGAGCAATTTACATGGCTTGTAATATATGATAACTAAGTGTCTGATATTAACAAAAAAGGAATGATTTTTTTTACAAAGATGGTTTTTGATGGAGACTAATAGTGCATACTATTCCATATAGTATCTCATTGCAGAAACCTTATCTTAGGGAGATTAACCAAATTTCCTTTGGAACTGCTTGTACTTTAGAAAGTACATTTTAACTGTCATCAAATATCTTCTTCTCCTCCTCCTCCTCCTCTTCCTCTTCCTCTTCTTTCTTTTCTTCCCCCACTTCCATCTCTTTTTTTCCTTTTCTTCATCTTCTTCTTTTACTTTATTCAATGCCAACCACAGCCAAACACAAATACCTCACAATTAATAGTAACATGCTTCTAATTGTTATTAACCTACTAGTTAGGCAGGATAGGCCAGACTCTAAATACTAATCAATGCTTCCAATAAAATTCTAATGAAATTATTAGCTACTGTCTACCTTCTTTTTTTAAAAAAAATATTAATATGGTGACAAAGCACTACATAGGGTTAGCACACATCCACCCCTCACAGTTATAGAGGGAATCATCTTCATATTTCTTCTGTTTGCTCCCTAATAAATAGTTGGTAAATTTCTTAAGAAAAGATTAAATGTACAAACTATAGATGGTAAAATGACATGATATAGCATAAAAGTAACAAAAATGCCTTCAGATCATTTTTCAGACCCCCCCAATTATTTAATTAATTGTGAAAAAGTCATACAGCTTTGGATGAACAATAAATTTACTTACCCCACGGCCTTGACAGTGAATTTCAGCATTGCAGGATCCATTGTTAATAAACTGAACTTCTTTACAAAACCATTTGTCACAATACTGAGGCAAAGCAATATAAAACAAAAATAAAGTCACACAAATTATGTACATAGGTACTCATAATAAGAAAAATCAGAGAAAATCCATGAATTCTTATTCCCCAGAACTGGCATGTAATTCATGAGTATACACTATGGAAAAATACTTAATTGTGACTATAATGAGAAAAGCTGTATAACTTCAGAGAATAAAGATATGATCTGTTCTAAGGAGCTGAAAGTAATATTTTCCTATCACGTACATTTGATTCTCTCAAGTAATTGGGAAAATCATTTGACCTTTTGAGTTGAATAACTATTTGAGGATCAGTTTTAAAATAATGCTCAATATAAGACCATTATATCAAAAGCTCCAGGGTTATGCAATTACTATGAGCAACCAGGGGTGAGAAATATTGGATGGGACAAAAAGGTCCTAAAATTACAAGTATGACATGAGACCACACCAGGTCCAGGCACAGATGCACACATATAATCAGGTGGGAGCAACAAATAGGACCAGTCCAGGAGCTGGCTGGGGCACAGAAGCAGGCCAGGGAAACCAGGCTCAGACATGAGTGCATATGCAGGCCCAGGTGAGACCTGTGGTGTGGAAACGTCCACTGCAGCAGTGAGGCGTCAGCAGCTGCAAAGTTAGGTGAACCAACATTGTTCTTCAGCACACAGACACCCTGAATGCAAGTGGTGGAGGCTACCACTCTATATCAAAGGGCTCCAGAAACAGAAGATCAGCCCTAGCCCCACATCCAGAGGCCAAGATCAGCTCCATGCCCAGCACAACTCACCTGATAGTCTTGGTTGGAATACACAGTACATTTCTGGGATCTGACTTGGACACTACGAAAGAAGAAATCTGCAGCTATTCTGTTCTCTGCCACTGAACTCAACTCAAACACATGATGTGTTATCAAATTAAAAGTTCTATGAGTGAGCTAAAAACAAATTTGCTGCATATATTTGTGCTCACCGCAAGGTATATACACATTATACCATGGGCTTCAGCTATGCTTATCTCAGTTTTTTGCAACTCTACACTTACTACCCTATTAAAAAGACAAACTTTATATAATCACTGCTTCAGACTTTGGAGACTACTCCTCTGGGGCCCACCAACACTAGTAAAATTTCCTCTTTTCTTCTGAGTGCCTGGTTACTTTTGACTCAATTTTCCCACAACACTCCCATAGAACTGTGAATACTAGAGGAATTTTACTACTTTTATTTCTCTTTGTCTGATTGGTTACCCTTTTCCTATTTGGTTGAGTTTTGTTTGGTTCTTTGTGGAGATTTTTTTCTTTTCCTTTTATTTTTTCTCTTTCTTCTTTGTTTTTCACCATTTCATTCTTACCTTTCTTTTTGTTCTCTTCCACTCATCTCCTTCCTTTCAAGTACTTTGTAAATTTATATTTATATGTGAGTAAACACTGTCTCTTCTCTTTCTGATACATTTCAATACTGTTTGGCTTTCTGTTTCATTCCTTCTCTCTCCTGTGTCCTCTAGCTGCACAAAACTTGGGTGATCAGTCTTGCTTCTTCTATAATGACCTCATCAGCTCTCTATCTTGTTCTCTACCCCTCTTAACACCTTCACCCTCAAAACAGATTAATGTCACTCCAGTAAGGAGATAATATTGCACACAATTTCCTAGTGTATGTTGGATTTTGTTATATAATTGTAGAATTTTCTCCTATTGTTAAAGATATTAAGTAGATAGTCACCACAGTTTGTACGTAGCTAGGCTGTACTTTATGCTATTGTTATTGCTAACTATGGGACTTTAACCAGGTCATCATACATCTTATAAACAGTTTTATTCGACCTTATATGCTAACACTGTGATTGTATGGAGTCATACTTATCACCTAAAACCTATCATCTAAACCATCAACTAAAAACCTAGGTGCTGAACCAAATAGCAAGTTTTCATCCTTAACAACTTGGGAAGGTAGGATCTTGGGATAGACATAAAGACCACCTATATCTAGAAGACATCCCTGAAAAGCAAATATCTTCTAGCATAGCTTCAATACTAGTGATAAAGCTATCTACCATAAGATTTTTGCAGGAATCAACACAGAAAAGAAAATAAAATGCCAAATAGAAAATATAAAATGACAAGACATGGAAGCAAAATGCAAATCAGTTCCCTAGCCTACCCAAGGCAAGCCCGAAGCACAATGAAACAGAATCAAAGTCATACCCTCGAACTTTCCAGAATAACAGTAATGAAAGTGAAAAAGCAAATGGAAAAGGCTATAGAAAATAACATTTCAGGCACAAAAAGAAATGCTCAAAATGAAAAAATATTAGGGTAGATACAGATTTAAAAAATAGAAGTTAGGAAAATGAAGGAAACCATACAGGCACAACCTAGCAACCAAATGGAAGCCATGAAACAGATCCAAACAGAATAAAACCTCTATTGAAAGTGCAGGTAACAGACTAAACAAAGAAAAGAATAGTCTATCAGATCTAGAAGGCAGATTGCAACTAGTGACCATGAAAAGAAAGACAGATTAAAAATAACAAGAGAACATGAAAAAATCAGTAAGCAGTTGCAAGATGAAACAAACAAACAAAAAAGCAACATTAGAAGCATCAGAGTCAACGAGAAGGCTGGAGGCAGTGAAAATGCCAGGGGGGGAAACTTCTCTACAGAAGCAGTGCATTAAATTTCCCAAACATCTATAAAGAATTTGACATGAAAATAAATAAGGCATGTAGAATTCCAAATAGTCATGACCAAAACTAATCTACACCGAGGTATATAATAATCAAGATTGCAATAGATACTTAGCACAAGAACAAAATATTAAAATCAGTTAGAAACAGAAGCAAGTCACTTATAAAGCTAAGCCAAGATTACAAGACTTAGGCAAGGAAAAAAAATCATCAATCAATAAATGCACAAAATGTTTTTTTGATAAACTCACAGAGATTAGTAATACAGTTATCTATCTTGTGTGTGTGTGTGTATATATATATATATATATATATATATATATACATATACATATAATCTCTTCTTTCCTTTTCTCCTTTATCCATCCCAGTTGTTCTTTCCCTTTGAGCACTCTCTTTCCTTTTCGTTTTCACAATACCTTTTGTACATTTTGGATCATAGTACTCTTTTAGGTTTTTTTACACTAAGGAGAAAATACAATATTTACATGTATGAGTTTTATTGTAATATGACCAACTACTTCTAATATAGCTTTATAACAATATGCAATATATTAACTAGTGTGAATTTTCTACTTTTTAAAAATTCTGTATCATTTCTATCTTTTTTGGTTTTTTTTAAATGAAAGTTTTTTAAAAGGAAAGCCCATAAGAATCACAGCAGTCTTCTCAACACAAACTCTCAAATCAAGGAGAGCTTGGAGTGAGGTATTTCAAGCCCTAAAAGAAAACAATTTGTAATCCAGATTGACGTTATTGTGAAAATCTCTTTGGTTTGAACGAGACTACGAGGTCATTTTGGTTTTGTATCCTTGGCACTGTATGGTGATGGTGGTGGCTGTATGGTGGCAGTGTTGTTGTTGATATTATTTTATTTTTCTCATATGTCTTTGTGATTTTTTCCCTTTTGTTCTCTTTCTTATCCCTTTATTTTCCCTTACAGAAGAAGAATCAGCCAGTACTTTAATTTAAACAATAGCTTTCATTGACATGGCAGTGTAATTCTCACCAAAACTGTGCATAGGCTCTCTAAACATAAGCCAGCTCCTACCCTATTAACAGATGCTAACACCCTCAGAATTGATTTCAATCTCCAGCTACATTTGCTCACCTGCGAATCCCTTCTGCCACTCCCAGAAACATTCTCTCAAACCCTCAACACTAGTGCTTTACTCCAACTATAAAAATAATTCCAATATATTCCCATCTTGTCTCTTTTTTTCTCCTCTGTCTTCTGATGGACTTCCTCCGTTTATATTTGCTTTTCTTATGCTTCCTTCTCTTTATGCCCTAGTCCATTACAATCAGACTAGTAAGAGGCACAGAAAGAATGTGTGAAATTGTTTTTTAAAAAAGTTTTAGTGTACATGATAGATGTGTGATTGGAGTTGCTGATACAGAAATAAGCAGTAGATATTCTCTCCTTGCAGCACAGCAGCTGGGTCAAAGGCTATTAAATTGACTAGGCCAAAGACAGACAAATATTGAAAAACAGCTAAAGCCAAGATCACCTCATGGAGAAGCAGACACTAAATAAAGAGAACTCCATACTAACAACAAAATCTTTACACAATAATTTATCAACCTACAGTACACATGCACACACACACACACACACACACACACACACACATAGAAATATAAAAAAAAGAGAAAACAAAATGCATCCTATAACTCCTAAAAAGTTGATATACTGGGCATTGCAATAAGAAACTGAAAAACAAAATGGATGAATTATATAAAATGAAAAACAAAGAAAAAACAGTAAAGTGTTCAACAAGATAAAAATAATGTAATTAAACAAATAATGATTTGAGGGGGCTCAAAATTGAATGGAGGGCCTTGTGCATGCAAGTATAGCTCTACCCCATCCCCAGCCCAATAACAAGCTTAATAAAATAATCAATGAGCTTAAAGAAGACACAAAAACATGCGGAGCTGACAAAAATGATCCAAAACATGAGCAACCAATTTAGCAAAGAATCAGAATCCATGAAAATATACAAATCAGAAAAACTGGGTTTAACAATTCTGTTGGAAGTCTGGGAACCAGAAGTAACCAATGTGAGAAGCAAGTGTCAGAACTAGAATACAGGGCTGATTCAGATGACCATGCATTCAGTAAAAACAAAAATACAACAAGAGATCATGTGGAATGAATTCGACAAGTGCTAAGTGATGTGAAGAAAACACCTAAGATTAATTGAAATAAGTAAAAAATCAGAAGATACAAAAATAACACAAGAAATAACCACGATCAGAAAAGAAATTCTCCAGAATGCATTGTAGATAAAATCTCAAAAGTTCACCAGAAGAACAAAATCTTAAAAGCTGTCAGAGAAAAGCAATTAATCACTCACAAGGATAAACCCATTACAGCAGACTTCAACATAAACCTTAAAGTCCAGGAAAGGTTGGAGTAAAATCTATCAAGTCCTAAAAGAAAACAACTTCCAAGCCAAACTACTAAATCATCATTCAAAACTGATGTAGAAATAGGGACTTTCCGTGGAAAAGAGCACTGCTAAGGAATTCTTGACTAACAGTACTTCAAAAAAATTCTAAAGTTTATCCCTCCAGTGATGGCAAACATTTTAGAGAGCAAATACTCAAAATGCAACCTAAAATCCACTTACTTATTACAAAGTGTCAAAACCTGAACATTTAGGTTTTGGTTCAGAAAAAACAACTACCTGTCTGATGCTCAACTGCTGGGACAACTTGGTTCACCTGCAAGCATAGAGGTCTCTGCATGGCAACTGTGGCACATGTGCCACAAGTTCACCATCACTGTCCTAAAACAGACAAAATGATGTCAATGAGTAGAGTGGAATAAATACACCAGGTAGGATGGGAAGCAAACCAAAATGATAAAAATCAGCAACAGAAAGTAATGCAATCACAGGAATAAGTAAATACCTTTCAGTAACAAGTCTCAATATGAAGAGTCTCAACTCAACTGCCTTATCAAAAGATACAGACACGAAGACTGGGTCAAAAAACAAAACCCAACAACATGCTTCATATATGAAACACATTTAATCCAAAAAGTAATTCAAGGAATCAACATCAAAGAGATGAAAACAATATTCATGCAATAGGATCCTGAAATAAAAAAAGGACCTGTCCTATTTTCACACAAATCAGAACCCCCCCCCAGCAAACTTGATAAGATGAAAAGATGTCTATACATTGGCAAGGAACAATTTAGCTGGAAGAGATAACAATTGTAAATATACATGCAACAAATGCAAGCATACTCAACATTATAAAATAAATACTGCTGAAAATAAAAAAGTAGAGAAATTGTGGTAGACAATCAACACCCTACTATCATAAATAGGAAAAAAATCAAAGTCAAACCGTGCCTTCAAACAAACTGGCTTAAGAGATTTCTATAGAATGTTCCACCAACAAAATGCACAAGCTTCTCAGCAGTAAATGGAACTTTCATCAAAACAATCCATATATTTTTAGGGTATAAAGCTTGCTTAAGTGAATAAAAAGAATTGAAATTAAACCACACATGTTATCAGATCATAATCCAATGAAACTAAAAATCAAGGGCAAAAGAAACCACAGAAATTATGCAAATATATGAAGATTAAAAGTTCACTTGAATAAAAAATGGGTCACAGAAGAAATCAAGGAAGACATTAGATCATTCACAGTATCAAACAATAATGCCACCACAGTATACCAGAATATACTGGATACAATAACAACAGACTTAAGCGTGAAACTTACAGCTTTCAATTCCCACTCCAGAAAAAAAGCAGGCCCAAATAACCAAATGGTGTTCTTCAAGGTCCTAGAAAAAAAACAACCCAAATCCAAAGCTACTACAAAAACTCAAAAGTGAAGAGTAGAAATTAATGAATATGAGACTAAAAAAATACAAATCATCAATGAATAAAAGACCTGGTTCTTTGAAAAAATAAACAAAATACGTAAAACCTTAGCCAACCTTAGCAAAAGAAGAGAAGATATATATGAATGCAATCAAAAAATAAAATGGTGAAATCATAATGAACATTGCTATATTCAGATTTTCAACTACAGTATTCTAATGAATTAGTGAGTCCAGAAGAAATGGATAGCATCCTAGATACATGTGAATTATCAAAACTGGACCAAGAAGACCCTCAATAGTTCAATAATAGGTAATGAAATTGAGGTAGTGATGAAAAAACCTGCCAATTAAGGAAAGCCAAAGACCCAGTGTTTTACCAATGGTTTCTACAAGATCTTCAGGAAGATCTAAAACCAATACTCATAAAATTCTTTAATGAAATTGAAAGGGAAACAGTACTCTCAAAGTCATTCCTAGAGACTAGCAGTCCCTAGAATCCCAAAGAAGAAAAGAGCCTAAAAAGAGAACTACAGACCAATCTGTTTAATAAGTATAGATACAAAAATTTTCAATGACATACTGGCAAACAGAGCGCAGTGAATCATGATAAAGATGATTGATACATAATGGCACCTGGATGACCTCAGCAGCCAAGGGAAGCCTTTGGATGCCTCTCTCCCACACTCAAAAGACCTCAGCAGCCAGGATCATGGGCTGCCCTTCCCCATGTTCCAATGACTTAGCGGACAAGGAGAGCCCCAGTCACCCCTCCCCTACACCCAAAAATCCTCAGCAGCCAAGGATATCATTGGTTTTCCACACCAAAATGACTTCAGCAGCCCAGGAGAGCCTTGGTCACACCTCTCCCACACCCAAATGGCCACAGCAGCTGATGGACCATCAGTGATCCCCTTTCACCACCTGCAGTACCTCGGTGGGCTGGTGTAAGTTTGACAACCCCACCCCCCATCCAGAGAAACTCAGTGGGCCAGCAAGAGCATGGTGACCTACAGATAAGTGAGGCATACAGAACTCCGACTAACCATAACCAAAATAAACTACAACCAAACATATAATAATCAAGATCTCAGAAATACAGCACAAGAGCAGTTGTTAGAAAAAAGAAACAGATCACTTATAAAGGAAAACTCATTGGAATCATGACAGACTTCACACCACAAACCCTCCAGTCAAGAAGAGCTTGGAGTGAATTATTTCAAGTCCTAAAAGAAAACAACTTCCAACACAGATTGATGTACTCTGAAAAACTACCTTTCAAAATTAATGGAGAAATAAGCTACTTCTATGACAAGGTACAACTGAAGGAATTCATGTCCACCAAACTAACCCTACAAACAATAACAAAGGGCATGTTAGAGAGAGATAAAATGACCACAGTTCCAGGAACAGTGGCAGAGGGGGATGGCTGAGTTGGGGAGGCAACTGAATGAGGAGGAAAAGGAGGGAGTCAGTGACAGGAAAATAGCGAGTTAGAGATGAGCTCGTGCGTGTTGGCCATCACCTTTAACGCAGATAATCTCAATCCACCAACAAAAAGAAGCACAGAGTGAATCAAGAGAAAAGACCCACCAATGTATGTTATACAAGAAATATGTAACTCAAAAGAAAATTTATAGACTAAAAATTAAAGGAGAGAAAACAACAGTCTATGCAACAGGGAACCAGAGAAAAGCAGGGGTGGCTTGCCTACCAACCACAGAAAGAATAAGAAAGATATGGTATTTTTATACAATGGAAAGCTACTCAGCTATAAAGAAGGATAATCATGACACTCTCATAGTAAATGGAGGCAACTTGAGATCATACTCGTGGGTGAAATGGCTCAGACTCACATAGGTGTAGTCTCCCTAATGTAAAAAACTGAAGGAGTTAATGGGATCCAAAGTTGACAATGGATATGGTGAAAGTGAAAGGGGAGGAAACATCTAAAAAGGGAAGGTGGGAACAATTGTCAATTTCTTTTTATCTTGTTTTCCTGTATAATTTTCATTTTTCTATTTTGTTGGGTTTTATTCTGTTTGATTTTATTATATCTGAAGGCATGGTCAACTATTTCAAAGATAACAAGATATATTAATGTAACCATTGTTGATTTCCAATTATCTTGTTTTGAAATCCTATATCACATTCACTGTTTTGTTTTGAATAGCTCTATTCTGTTTTATTCTCTTAAAAAAAAAAGAATCTGTGTGTTACCTGGCCAGGCCCACAGATGGTACCATCTTCTACAAATGTTTCATCTCTGTCTTCAGGTAGAAGGACTGTAGTTAGTGATAAGTCCCTAATTATCTTCCTTACTGTTTTAGTTGTAGCTACACATATATCGTCTCGAACATGTGCATAAACCACAGATAAATTTACACGTGATACTAATTGTTTGTGTGGCCATGTGCAAACTAATTTTCCACATAAAGCATGTCTAGAAACACAAGAAAAAATTATTTTATCATTCAATGAAACAACAGATAGCCAATAACATGTTAATAAATAACAGATTTTCTTCATTGTTAAGAAAATAAGCAGTTAGGTCTCTGTTTCTTCTAAATTGTTAACTTTCTTGTTGCCAGGAACCAAACTCATGACCTCATATTTGCAAAGCAGGCACTTATGCCGCTGAGCTAACAATTGTTTTCTTTCCATCACAGTTCTTTACCTAATGTGAAAATGTAGCTTACTCTTATTTAACTTACCAGACAGCCAAATTCAAGAGAATGTTTTATTAATTTAAACCCAGATTTCAATCATTTTCTCTCACTAAGTCTTTTTAGCAATGACTTACAACATGCCTTTTGCTTTATGAAGCAATTTAACAGTGAAAAATCAATAATCATTAGACTTTGACTCTTTTTTTCTGCCCTCTTCTGAAATCTGAGCAATCATTGATCTTTAGTTTTTCTTTTTTGATCTTTAGTTTTTTATAAATAAAAAGGGATAAGTATTTATTGCTAAATAAATTTGATGTATATAAATATATTTATAATTAGTATCTGCCATATGTAAATTGCAAACTAATTACCTGTCTCACTAATTACAATCATAGATAGAAGCTTATTTATGTGGTCACTGTTGCCTTAGCATTATAAGCACTGAATACATATGCATTATCATAGGTAGTGAAATACTGTTCAGCTCAGATCAGATAATAAAGAAAATCCAAAAAATACCATTACTCTGTACAGGATATAGTCTAGGATTTTAGTAACCTACAACCTGAATTCCTAATAAAATTATAATTTTTAAATACATACTGAATGTAACATTGGTGGCGGCCGCAGTTTCCGTAAACATCTCCTCTGGAATTTACTTCATCATAACAAGCAAAAGGAGCACCTCTAGAATCTAAAATGAACATCCAAAAAATTTAAGCAAGATATGATACAGAATTCAAATTATAGAAATAACAGAGATGGTCTGAAAATTATACTCTGACTTCTAAGCAGGTTTATGATTTCCCAGCAGTAAAAATTTGCTGGGAATAAATTTAGATTTAGATTAAAAAGAGAACTCCTGATTTTTAAGCCTGGTTGGTTTTATTCCCTATAAAACAGTAAGTAAAGAGCAATATCATAAGATGGTTCTGTACTTTTAGGAAGATAAGCAGCTGTAGTGCTCTATTTCCTCTAAATTGTTTACTGTCTTACTTACCTACTTAATATAAAAATAGAGCTTACCCTTGTTAGTAGGGAAATGGTATTCAGTATGCCATATGGATAACCAAGTCAAAGAACATCTCCTTATTCCATATCATACTCTTAATCTCTGTTCCTTAGCACTAAATAAGATCTATTACATTTCAAAATTAGAGATCAATGTCCATCTACTGTAGCCATAGTACATATTTAGCTATTTGTAGTTTTTAAATTATGAAAAAAATTCAAAAATCTCTAATAACCACCCTATCACTTTGGACGTGGTACTTTAAATTTGATTTGCATTGATCATGTTAATCATTTGGAGTAAGAACTGAGATCTTTTATTGCCACCACTAATGTTTGAGTAGGAAATTCTCTTGCACAATTTCATATAACCTGACCTGTACATTTGACTCTCCTAAAAAATACAATGTACACCAGAGATATTCTAGCACATTCTAGCCACATTTCCAGCCCTTTTTATTTTTTATTCTGAGACAAGATTTCACTAGAAGACTTGAATTCATCAGCATTCCTTAGTGCTAGTAAAACAATTCTTTCTTTCTCTTTTGAAAAAGCATACTTGAGTTCATACAGAAAATCATGAGTTTTTTGCTTTGTTCTAATCAAAACATTGGCTTGGTTAAACCTAATTTAAACTTTCCAGTTCTTCCAAATTATAATGTGACCAGAATTTGGAGGTGAGGTGGAGCAAAAGCTAAATAATCAGAATAAATAAATTTTCATGTAATAGTTTCTAAAAGATCAAAATCAGTATAAGAAACATCCACTATGAACAAAATACTGAAATTGTATGTAGGGATAGGTCATTTGTTTTATGATTCTGCTACTCAACTCAATAGGCATGGCCATTTCCAATTGTCCAGTGGTTACACCACGAGATCAAGGGCCGCGTCTGCATTCAGCAGCCTTCACCTAGAACCGTAGCAGCCTACTCAGCCAGGTAGAAAAAAGACTATTCCTGTGTGCCTCTATTATGTCATGTAACTCTGAACAATCCAGCATTCTCTCTGATGTCCTTTTGCAGTTTAACTTCTTGAGAATCAGAAAGGTAGGTAGATTGCTGTGTTTTCTTGATGCCCTCTTGTGATTGGAATTCTGTGCGCCACCAAGATATTGACAGAACATCTATCATTTAATTTTGTTGGGTCCCTGGGAGGTTTTGGCATATAGAACAGCAGATTTCCTCTTCCACTCTCTACTTTATGGGTTACTAACTGAGGTGTCTACAAAATATGAAAGCACAATTCATGAAAGAAATTGTTTGGGCCATTTTTAGACAGAGCTTTGACTCTTACATTTGTTTCAGTCAGTCATCACTGCACCTCCTGAAACTTCACTGTACAAAACTGTTAGAAAGACGCTGCCTGTCAAAGAGCAATCATACCTGGACCACTTCTAGGCATGTGTTTCAAAGATTCTGAGACAAAAGATGTATTTTGTACCCAGTATTGGAAATATACAACTAGTTTCCTTAGTTCATGTTATGGCTGTGTCTAGATGTCCCCACAAAGCTTCATCCAGTCATAGGTGGGGCTTTTTCAGAGGTGGCTGGATCTAGCGTGTGTGATGCTGGGATTGACTCATAGTCCAATGCTAGAGCTAATGGGGCTAGGGTTAAGGGTCCTGGGACTAGTGTTATGTAGGTCAGTGCTCAAGAAGAGGGGGGAAAATACATATATATTACTATTATAATTCATTCAGGTGAGTTGAATCAATTGAACCTCATAAATCTAAATCTTTAAATACAGCACTGGTGTGATATCATCAATGGTTCTTGAACACAGTGTCCTGTGACTTTTAATCATGGTACATGGGGTAAGTACTATGGAGATTCTATCTAGTCTTCCAATAGTCACTTCAGACTGGAGGATGCATCGGTACATAAGCTGGTGAACCACCAGCTGGGGTCAGGAACAAGTGTTCAGATCCATCCCTCCACTAGGCAGTGTGAAGTAGGGCAAGTTGTGTGATTTCTTTTTGGCCCCAGTTTCTTAGTAAAGGCAGCAAAGCAATAAGACTCTATTCTCTCATCTGAAATATTTTATACAAAAGTTTTACATTCAGTGACTGACTATACTTCCAAAAATACTGTCTCTTGTAAGCAAAGTCACAGGCTTTCCATTAAACATGCAAACTCCATATAGTCATGTGTTTTTTGTTACTGTATAACTTTCCTGAAATGTTTTCCACATGAGTCAAAATATGGTAGGATGCTTTCATAAGTTAATACAGAAATGCATATTTTTCCTCTTATTAAGACTGAAATATAACTCAGCCTGGCATTCTTTAATGAGAAGCTCCTTTTCATTCTGGCGTTTTTCCTTGTCTGAGCAAAAATTCTAAATGAATTTAGAATTCATCTTTGTTTTCCAAATTAGAATGAATTATGATTGCCTGGATATCTTCTCCTGAAAATGCCTTAGGAGTTCTTGTCAGTTGTACTAATACTTCCTACTCGAAGACAAAAAAGTATATTCCCTTAACCTTCTCTGCTCAGGACCCATGAGCTTGGCATCTCAAATGATAATCTGAAATGCTGAACCAAAGAAAAGGAAGAGGAGGGCACATGCTATTTTTCTTTCATTAATCAAGTTATATAATTGAGCGGTCTGTTGTTCATGATGTTTGTCTCTATTTTGAATGTTTTAAAAGGACCTTCAAATATCTCAGGGAGTAATATAGATGCTATAAATAAATCATAGTCTTGACCAACCTTGAGGAAAAATATGTAAAACAGTCCCACTAGACTGGTGCTCATTCAGTAGGGCACACCTTAAGAGGAAATGCTTTTCTTATCTCTTTAAAATCAAAAGCACTTTAATTTAGGAATCTCCCCTATTATATTTTCTTAGTCTAATCCTGTTATTTCTGGGATGCTAACTGCAAGATGTTGAGAGAAACAATCAAAGGCTTTAATTACAGACCTTTTCTGTACTGTAATAAAGTTTTTCTCTGCACTTCTAAAACAGAGTACCTGAGAGAATATTTGCTACAGATTCTCATTTTAATCCTGATTACTTCAGTACCCAGGGCACTTTTGCAAAGGTGATTTAAAAGGGAAATTGTCATCATTGGAAACTGTGGGAAGGCCAGAAGCAATTAAAATATCTAAACAGATCTTGAGAAAACAAAAAAAGAAGACTATTGAATATTCAAATTCGGTCTTTCATATTTCTATCCTAAATTTTAAAGGCAAAACCATCTCCCCAAAACTGTAGTACTCAATAATTTCTGGGCAAAATCAAACAAAATAATCCACTCTGAAATTAATCTTTTTTGTGTCATTAATATTCATTAACTTGGTCACATTCCGATGTAGATCTTCTTCTAAACCTCTCTTCTCCAAATTTCTAAGGAAATAACTCGCTCAAGGATACTCCCCAAAAATATCAATTCCATGATTTAGTATTTATCTAATATTGTTACTATACATAATAACCAAAGAAAATTTAATTTAAAGCCATGGTGTAGAGCTGAGCTATAAAATACACAAATATGTCAAAGGCAAAAGAGATACAAAAGAATTTGTTCTAGAATTGTGAATTTTATCATTTTATTACCTACCATCCAGGGAAATAGATAGACCTGTAACAATTAATCTACAGTTTCTCAGATTTAGAAAAATTCTCAATGGATGGTATAGAGGAAATTAACTGAAAGGAGCCCTGCCTTCTCTTTTTGTATAAAGTCCCAGATACACAACACTATATGAAAGAACAAATTGGAATGAGACTCTATAAATCTGGGACACTCCAATATTTTGGCTAAACAAGTCTTTAATTTTTTTCATTGGTATATTTTATGGTGCATAATATTTAAATTCATCTTAAAATATTTTAAATATTCATCTGAACATTTTTAAAGCAATTCATAAATTTATCAAGCTAGGAACACCAAATTACGTCACTCTTGATGACAACTGGCCCACACCATAAGGACTAGATCAAAGAATGTCCACTCTCTTAAGAATCAAGGATATTTCAGGAGTGTATTTGCCATTTTCTATATTTGGCTGCAGATATCATAAGGAAAAACAAAGACTGAAAAAGCCAATATCTCATTTCCTTTTCCAAAGTAATTTTAAAAATATGATTTAAAATCAAGGTCATTCACCACCTGTATAGAATATTACACTATGACTTGATGCGTAAGATATGTCTGTTAATATAAGCATATTAAAACCTCATGTTTGTGCCAGAAATCAACAATTTGATGAAACACAATAATCTGTATTAGATCTGTGGAGCAATACCTCTATTGCTCATTACCTGTAAGTTTTATGTGGATTTCATCTTACAGAGAAAATGCCTTCTTCACAATTATACCAAACCCTACTCTACAAACATGCTACAATTCTTCAATTCATTGATTCTTTGTATTGTTTTCTTAGTCTCAATTGTATTAATTTCTTCTCTTTATAATTTCTTCCCTTGTACAAACTTTGGATTTGATTTGTTCTTCTTTTTCTAGAAGTTTGAGGTTCAATATTAGGTTGGGTTTTTGTTTTGTTTTGTTTTGTTTTGTTTTGTTCTTGAGCTACAGAGGACTGCTTTCACTGCATCCCATAATTTCTGGTATGTTGTACTGGAGTTACCGTTTAATTGTAGATACTATATATTTTCACAAAGAAAATAATCCACACATTTGAGGAAGCTATCAAGTTGGATTGGGTTTCTGGTAAGTTAGAACCCTTTGCCATAAGCAACACCTTGGAGATTCACATAATCCATAACTAGCACTATTGTGTCTTCTAAAACAATGTTTAAGTCTAAACTATACCTCTACTTAATACTATAGGAAGCTGGATTTTCATTTCAGATTTCTTTATTTTGCACATAAGAATTCCATATAAACTCAGGAATTTTATTTTTCAAAATAAAAAATTACAATTTACTTTAACCCTATTCTACACTAGGCAAGACTTTAGTCGAAAACAAATTATGTTTACATTTTTGTCTTAAGGAATTGGGAAGAAGTAAAAAAGATCAAGATGAGTTTTATGTACATGTACTCACTCTCTATGATCAATACAACTATTATGTACTGAGAACACATACCAATAAAAATTCTAAAATTACAAAACAGAATAGTAGACTGGAATAATAAAATTTTAGGAACTAAAAAGAAAATTAGTCATTACCGCCTCCTATTAATGCTTGACACTGTCTGTCATGAGTCCGACAACGTCCATTAAAACAGAAGGCTCCACCTGAGTCACAGAAGTGTCCATTTTGTGCATAAGTATCATGTACACAGTCCCCACTTCGTCCATTGCAGTATTCATCGAAATCACAATCTTTATCAACTGATTTCCTACAAAGTACATTGGCTTTCTGAAACTAGGAGGGAAAGGGGACATAAAAAACAATTATATATTAATATTATTTCAATTTTCTTTTTATTTATCTTTAAATTCCCATTAGTTTTTTTCTAAGTTGATAAGAACAATAAGAAAGTGAAGTGTTTTGATCACTTACTGAAGCATCACATAGAAATTTAGGTGATGGAGTTTTTTAAACATGAAATAAAGGGTAATATTTATGAGGGTAATTAGGAACTCAAAGATGAGCATACTGGGATAAAATAAGGAAAATAAAACTATTTACTTAGTATACTGCATGGTAAACAACTTAAAAATAATATCTACAGTTAGATATCTGGTATCTTCAGGGTTTTCTCTTTAGCTAATAACTTCTTTTTCTGCACACTTGAGTTTGCCAAGAAATATAGTATATTGCAAATGTTCTTTTCATCAACACAAGGCCCAGCTCCTCATGGCTACCATCATTATCTAGTACAAAGTAAGTTAAATTTTGTTTAGTTTCTAAAGATCCTAGAGACCCAGATCGTATAACCATGTTCAAATTCCCAAATTGAGTTTCTTTATACTTTTTATTGAGTTCTTGATAAGTATATGCCACCTTTAGCAAATGTTAACACAAATTTTCTAATTGATGGATGAGGAAACAATAATTTGCCTTTGCATCCAAGATGATGGCACCAACACTGAACTAAAAACCAGTGACTAAAATTGTTTCTCATGAAAATAAGTAAAAATACTGTAAGATAGTATCATTTGTTTGGTATTTGTTTCCTTTCACAAATTTGTCCAAAGTCAAACTTTTACTCTAACTTTACAAAAATACTTATGAATCCTCAGTTCCTCAAATGCTCTCAGAGCCAAGCTTTACTATTTAGTACCTCTTCCCTTAATAACCAGAGAATTTTCTGTGTGTGTTGTTTTATACTTGTAGGGCAGTATAATTCTAATTATAATTATAGGGCAGTATAATTATAATTGTAGGGCAGTATAATTCTAATGCTTGCATTTAGAATTTTTTCAGGTTATATTTCATGATGATAGAGGTTAAATCAATTTAATTCTGTTTCTCTTCTTAGGCTCAAATTGGAAGTATTTCTTTCCTTACTTCTATAATGAATTCCTGTTAGCCCTAAACTTTAAAATTACTAGTTCTGTTTCTGAAATTTTTCCTCATAATTTACTGGGTTTTTAAAAAATTCTTGAACAGACTCTCAGTCTGTATGATTTATCTAATTAATGGTCAAGATTCTGTCCCTTTCCATAACTGGACCAGTGAGGGACTACACAGTAGACACTATTGTATCTGTGCTACAACTCATGGTTTGGGCTCCCTAGTTTCCCAGCAGGTAATGTATTGAACTCACTGAAACTATGAGCCAAAATAAACCTTGACTTCTTTAAGATGCCAGTATTGGGCATTTCCCCCCAATTACAGGAAAATGCCTAACACAGAAAAACAGAACTGAATGCGATCATAGTAGGATTGTTTTAATCAGGGAAATCATTCAAGAATGTATACAAATCACTAAAAATTTTTCAAAGTGGATTTTCTTGGTTATATTTTATCACACCTGTTTCAGCCACTGAAATTCTGATATTTGCTAAGTTGTAGTGATCTTCTATTTAAATTAAAAATGTACTTGTAAGCAGTGGCTCATTCACCTTCAATTTCATTTTGTTCCATTTCCTCTTTGTAATAATTCAAAGAAGAAAGCATTTTTCTGAAATTTCTTCTGTATTTCAGAAAAACTTAATTTAAAAACTGTGTTATTCCTCCAATCTATGGATGTTTGCTGTTTATCTTGCTCAGAATTTTTTTCAGGATCCAGCAAATTATAATGAGTATAGGTAACTAGTTAGAATTGCTTTAAGATGGTCTCTATTGAGGAGGAAGGAATGAATAATTTCAACACATAACTGAATGAATTGTAGAGGAGAAAAGGACTTTGCCAGAAGAGATTAAGGTGAATTTAGCCAACAAAATAAAGCTCGCCTGACTTCCTTACCCCATATAAGTGATACTTATAGGAAAACGACTACAAAAAATGCTGTAGGGATATGTTGACCACACAGAAATTTCATAGAGTACACAGGAATATTTTTAATTCCTATATATATATGTAAATTAAGATGAGAAAGAAGTTTCAGACATCATGGATATATGAACTTAACAAATAAAGGGTTACTGAATAAAGTATGGAACTGGTCAGTTCTGCATGATTACAATGTAGTGGAAAGGATGAATAGGGTACGAATATGTTTTCCATTTTCTTGACACACTTCAAGAAACTGCTACACTGCTATCAAATACAGATTGTCTCTTACCTGGCAATCCACTGTACAACATGGTCCAGAGCCACATTTTGCACCCTTTTTCATCCTGCATTGCATGGGATCACAGCACTTTTTATGTGTACAATTCTATAAGGAAAAGCTAAATGTTAGCTAATCACACTTGGTTTGAGTGTCATCAAAAAAGAGCACAGTGCACGACTTTACAAAGTCTAGTCACAGCACTCCCAGTTTCAATAACTTCTTATTTTATAGTCTACAGTATTTGACTTACAAAAGTCAACATCTCATTCTGTAACTTGGAAAAGAAACATGTTTTCCACATTCTATGTAATATGGACAATGATGCTACACTGAATAAGAACCAAGAGGAAATTAGATGCTTTATTAACTATATTTTCTTTAAACATTTTTATATTTTATATTATTTATATTTACATTTTATTTAATAACTATCAACTATTCTATTTACATACAACTTTCAACTTTAAAACACTTCACCAATTGTTCGTAAGATGGTAAATGTTTACTACAATTGCAAATTTTCTCAATGCCCCCACTTCACATTGTTAGAAGAGATGAAAAACTAGAGATTCTAAAACTGCACCAATAGATAACCACTAGCCATGTGTATCTATTTAAATCTAAATGAACTAAAGCTAGATGAAATTAATAATCAAATTATTTAGTCACATTTTATATATATATATATATATATATATATATATATATTCCATATATATATTCCAGGTGTGCACTGGTCACAAATTTCAGAATTTCTGTTTGAATCTTTCATACTACGCATCATGCTCCTTAATAATTCAATAACTTATCTGTATCCTCTTTAAAGTCAAGGATCCTCCACAAAATCAAGTTTCTAAAGTTCTTTGTCCTGTATTTAATCTACTTTTTTTGTTATATTCAGTCACTAACAAGTTACAGATTATTGGAAGAGTTATATTGCTTTGTCTTTTAATGTTTCCTGTTTCTCTTTTGAGATTTGTACAGCCATTGGGATGGCTATCTCTTCCACTTGTATAGGAGTGTGTTCTTAGGGAAGAAGCCCTCTTTCGAAGGCTCAATCCCCAGTACTGCTCAGAAAAGAGAAATCAGACCATAGTAATGACATCAACACACAGAAAAAGCAAATAGAAAATGCAGTAATAACAATAAATGTTACAACTATTCTATCAATGACAATGTAGAGAAACAATGTAGAGGTAACAATGTAGAAAAAAAGGCTAAAAATCAGTAAAGGTTCAGAATAATAATAATAATAATATAATAGCACAGATAGACTAGGAAAAAAGAAAAATGAAAAAGGAAGCAAGATTTTAAAAGAAAAGGGGTGTAGCAGGACCATGCCAGGTCACTGACGTTTTGTCTGTCTTAGGGCTGTGTTCACTTGAGAGCTCTGGCTTTCTCTTCTGTGCACTTGGAGTCACTGTTCTTCCCAGACAGCCCTCCCACATGTGACCTGATGAAGTGCCCTGCTCATGCCACTACCCAAAGAAGTGGCAAATGTCCAAGCTGAGGCATAGCCCCAGGCTCACAGAAAACTGGGAACAGCAAACCGACTGAGTTCTGTGCCGGAGGGAGGCAGTAACAGGACCAGTCACCTTCTGAGCCTGATTCTGGCACTTTGAGACAAGGCCCTATCAGGAAATCTCTGGGATGGTCCTTACACCTTGTCAGGGAAGGCTGAGGAGCTTCCACTGCCAGGGCTGTTGGAATGTCTCAGACACGTCTTCAACTAATTTTTCTTGTCTCCACTACGGCTCTCTCCCATCGGGTCATGGCAGCAGAGTGTCCCTGGGACCCTGGAGTGAAGATGTGCTGTAAAATCTGCTTCCCACAGCCCCTCTGTCTCAAACAGTGGGCCCCTCTGAAGGCAGTTCCTGGTTAGGCTATTCGGACATGTGGCAATGTGCAGTAGATTTCTTTTGCAAAGCAAGGCTGCCAACGTGGGTAAAGTCATTTTCAAGAAAAAACACACAGGCTTTCAGTTTGTATGGTGGATTGATAACTGGTGGTCCACTTGTAATACCAGCTGAACTAAATCAGTGTGCTGCTGCTCAGGACAGCCCACCTGACGATTGTTTCCAAGATAAAAAAGGAGAGGAAGACTTCAGTGTTGCTGGTTCTCTGTGTTGTTGTTGGTTCTCCTGGAGAAGCTTGTCTCGCTGGCTTCCTCATATGAACCCGGCTGTTCTCATTGTCAGAGGAGCTCAGAACCTCATTGTCACCGAGGATGGCAGTGGTACTTTTCAGGTTCCAAGTTGCTTCCTGGTTCCAAGGCAGAACCCTCAGCCTGATGTGCAAAAATCCTTCATCCCGCTGGCAGACTTTCTGGCTTCCACTGTTCACCATTAGGCCTTCTCAACACAGATCCATGAAATAGGGAGTCGTCATCATGGGCTCCAGGTCTTCAGCTGGATTCCTTGTGTCTAACTGTGTGGACAGATTTCCTGCATTTCTTGTATTTAACTCTTTGGGTGCCTATAACAAAATAACACTGTATCATGCCCTGTATGTGATTGCTCTCCTTGTAACCGCAGCCTATACACTTTGCAATGACTGTTTGGTAGCTAGGGCTGCTGGCCCGTGGTTTATCACTAGGCTGCCAGCTTTCTCCAAGCAGAACTCGGCATTGTTCTCTTCCTCCCCCTGGGAGCCAGAGTCTGTCCTGTAGTCAGCATCACACTTTTTTCTCTGTTGCCTTTATGCTTTCTTTGTTTCTAGCTTTCCTGTCATGTCTCTCTTGATTAATGAGCGCTTCTCTTTCTCCCCTTAGAATATACTTTCTCCTTTATAATTTAACTCATCTCAGTTTGAGAGTCACACACAAAAAAGATTCTTGTATTCCATCAACCTATTACCACTTTCTATATTCCTATATTTTACTTACAGCCCTGCTATAGGATTACTTACTATTTACTTTTGGTGGCAGTACTACATAATGTTTTGTCACTACTTACATATTTCCAGTTCTGAATTCAGTAATGTTAGATTTGTCACTTAAAATCAGCTACCGTGGAGTATTCACAAATAGGCATTTGGAAGATGCTACAAATCAGGGTTTCATTTACATCTTGGTTGACTCATTAATGCAGATTTTGAAGAGATTCAATGTACTAAATATAAAACAGTATAAAAGTGGCTAATAAAGCAAATACAAAAATAATAAATTTAGGGAAGAACAAATGGGGATGAAACTACATTTATCAAATCATAGCTGACTCAAAGACTTTGTAGGAATACAGATGTGATACCAAGATATGATTTTCTGCAAAAGTAAACAAAAACATTCTGAAAGAATCTGCTGTATAACTTTACAGCAAGCACATGGTGTGATATATTTCATCATCACTCCAAAATTATTTTATCCATCTTTCATATCAGTAGTATTTAATAAATACATGCACATAAGTACATGTGTAAATTTTTATTCAGAGATCAGTTGTTATATATTTACCAAAATATCACTGCTTTTGAATTCATGTTTTATATAATTTATCTTTTCCTTCCTTTCCCCTTAAACTATCTACTACCATTTATATAAATTTTGTCTCTTGCAAGCATTAATTGACTTTAGTTGATTTTTACTTAAATCTGCCAAATATATTGTCCATTGCATTTAATGTAATTACTAAGAAGCTAGAATTTAAATCAACTATCACTTCTTTTGTCTACTGACCTCATTTGTATGTTTTTAATTTTTTCTTATCTTGCTTTCTTTTGTGTTGATTCTATAATACTATCATTACTTTTTTTCTTCATTAAGTTAGAATTTATGTATAGTTTTACTTCTGGCTGTGTGGTTTCGTAGAGGTTGTAACATCCACCCTGTCTTATTACGCATAAGGCAGTTTAAAGCATTTGTATAATACAGACAACACATTTAATTTCAAATCTAATTGTTAGAAGGAAGTAGGATTATCGTTTTATATTTCTAGCTTTCATTTAGATTTGCCCCATGTTTAAACTTTTGTTTTCTCACTTTTACTTTTATCATGTTCTTCCACGGAAAGTTCTTTTCCTTCTGCAGGCAGGAAGCTCTATAAATTCCTTCATTATTTCCTGTAATATTACTCTGTTGGTGTTTTCTCAATTTTCAAATTCTTCCGAAGATGTTCTTTTTATATCTTAATTCTTTGAGAATAATTTTGCGAGGATACGCTGGCTGCTATTTCTTTCAACACTTTAGTGATATACCATTTTCTCGATTCAATTATTTCTGTTGGAATTTAATCATTAGTTTTATTATTCTTTTGAAATTCACATTTTTTTTGTCTTTTGAATTTCTCCTTTTCTTTTACCAGTATTTTCATTACAATGTACTAGTTTTCTTTAACTTTGTAAAGTTTCCAGGCACGGTGGTATGATTCATTTCTTCTGTATTTGAATGAATTTCCAGATATTACCTCTTAAAATATACCTTTGCATGACTTTCTCTTTTTTTGTCATCCTGGGTAAAATTGCTTACATACTCATATTTCTCTTGTATCTCTCGATCTCTCATCTATTTGGATTATGTTCTTGATCTTTTACTTCATTCTGTTCAAATTTACAGATTCCTTCACCAGTCACATTTAACTGTACTGTTCCATTCAGTCACAACGTATTTCAATTCAGTTACGTCTTTTCAAAATTTTCATCTTATTTTGTGGTTTTCAGGTCTCTGCTAATTCTCATTATTGGATTTAATCTCCTTAAACATAAACAGTCATCCTAGATATTTTAGTAGTATATCTGATAAGTCCAGTGTCTGCAGGGTCTATGTTACTATTGTCATTTTCAGTGCTATCTACTCATATGCCCGGTTGTTTTCTCGGTGCAGATTTTTGTGTATAATGCATGTTTAAAATACATAGTGCCTAGGCAGACATCAGCGCTACTCTATATTTAAATGGTCAGGTTACTGAAATTACTTAGACTTTGGCATTAGTTTAATCTAATTGCATGCATTTTAATGCTCTGAAAATTAAGACAGACATCCCCACCAGAGGGCATGTGAACAGTCTACTTACATCCGCACTTGTCATGGAGCGGGGGCACAGGGACCTTTCAGCCTTGTTTGCCCCTGCAAACCAGGCTCCGATGTGAATATTTCAAAAACAACGTTCAGATTCTCAGCAATTCCCTCCAAAAGGACCAAGTTCCATTATACACACACACACACACACACACACACACACACACACAAACACAGTGACCCCCAGACCACGGGTTTCCATGTGATACTGGTTTCACACTTCTTAAACGTTGCCAGATTCTTTGAGCTTGCTTGACTTTCCAGTTTTCACGAAGAATTTGGCTCCAAATTACTATCATTAGTAATTCTGAGTTTCCACGAGTTGCCTTTCTATTATTCTGGAACCCATAACTTAGTACTGTGATACTTTTTGGTTTTCATTCTTTCTGAAACAGGGTTTCTCTATGCAGTTCAGGCTGGCTGGCCCTGAGCTCACTTTGTAGCCCAGGCAGGTGTCACCAGGCCCTGCTGTGATACATTTTTGAGACAAGATCTCACCAAGTCACTAAAGCTGGGTTTGGGCCTGTGATCCCTCTGCCTCAGCCTCCCAGAATACCAGAATTATAGGCCTGTGTCACTGCACCTACCCCTGCTCTAATGTCTGCCATATCTTTTCTTCTGTTTTCTTTGGATTTGGTTTGCTCTTTTTCCAGTTTCCTAAAGCAGAAGCTTGCATGCTTAATTTGTAATATTTCACCTAATGTACTCTTTCAGTGTGATAAATTTCACTCTGGACACTATTTTTTCAGTCAAGCTATTATTCATGTACAGGAAGGCTACTGATTTTTGCATATTGATTTTGTATTCTACAAATTAATAAACTGATTTCTTAGTTGTAATTGTTTGTGGAATCTGTGGCATTTTCTGCATATAGGGCCATGTTACTGCAAGTACAGATGATTTTACTTCTACCTTTTGAAAATGGTTCCTTATTCTTTCCAGGTGCCTTTGCTAGTACATACACTACCACGGTGAATAGAAGTGACAAGAGTGTCTTGTACCAGAGCTTAGTGAACATTTTCCCCAGTAAATTTAATGCTAGCTGTGAGTTTTCCATGAAATAGCCATCACTGTTCTGAGAACTTTCATTCATATGTTTAAGCTGTTAAGAGTTATTAAGAAAGGATGCTGAAGTTTGCCATATGCCCTTTTAATACGAACTGATATGACCATGTGGTCTTAGCTTTTACTCTCCGATTATGAGATGTCACATTTGTTAAATGTATGTTAAGCTAAGCTTACATGCCACCTGGTTATGTTTTATAATCATTCTGCTCTTTAATTAGATTTTCTCTTTTATTGAAATGTTTGCATCAATCTTTCTCAGATAGATTTGTCTATACAGTTATTTTCTTGCTCTCTCAGTCTGAGTTTCAAGTGCAATAGGCTTTATAAAATGTGCTTAGAAGTGTTCTCCTGGCTCTGTTTTTGGTAGAGTTAATCATAGTTCATATTTGAATCTTTGGCAAAATTCAGTTACAAAGCCATTTGGTCCTAGGATTTTATTTGCTGGAAGTTTTATTATTACTACTACTTTTTCAATCTCTTTATTTGTTATTTGTCTGTTCAAGCTTTCTATGCAAATTTCTTTCTCATTCAAAGTTTGGAATCTATCCTAAGGAGTATTCCAGATGCACAAAAGAAGAATGTATATTCTATTGTTATTAGATGGAAAGTTTTGCAAACATGTATTACATGGAAAGTTATATATATATATATATATATATATATATATATATATATATATATAGTTGGTTAGATACATTTGGTCTAAAGTAAGTTTAAGTGAGCTAAATATTTCTCTATTAATCTTCTATCTGACTGACCTACTTATTATTAAAAATAAGACAGTAATGTCAGCTATTAAAAGCCAGACAGTAAAGGAATAATACAGCTTTATGCTTATTCATTCCCTTATGCCCATTAATACGTGCTTTATATATTTAGTTGTTCTTATATTGAGTGCATACCTTGCAATTGTCATATATGCTTGATTACCTGACACTTTTACCATTAAATAATTTTGTCTGCTATTACAAAATTTTAGACTTAGTCTTCTTTTGGTGAGAGCTATCCCTGCTCACTTTGAGTTATTATTCACATGAAATATATTTTTCTATCTGTTTGATTTCAGTATATTGTGTCCTCAAAGCTAACATTCATCAGCTGTAGACAGTAAATAGCCAGGTCTTATATATAAATTGAAGAATTCCATTAAGTTTTTAAGATTAGGTAGGTATTGTTACAAGCTTTCTGTTACAAGCTCAGGTTTGTCCTACAAAGATTTTGCTTCTCTTTTATTTCATACAAATAAATTTTCTGAATGTAATATTCTCGGGTGGCAGTTTCCTTTCAACAGCTTTGAATATACCATCACATTTCTCCCGGACTGAAAAATTTTCTCATTCTTTTTTCCTTTTTCTTCCCCTCTTACTGAGTTGTATCAAAAGACCTACCTTCAAGATCAGGGATTCTGCTACTTAATCTATTCTCCATTGAGGTTGTCAATTGTATTCTGATTTCGTTCATTAAATTCCTCAGTTCTAAGACTTCGTTTTTATCAATATATTTGTTGAATTTCTAATTCACAATGAACTTTTTATTTCACTATATTTTATATCTGTATTCTCCTTTATTCTCATGAAATTTTCTTAACATTATTATTTTGAATTCCTTTGCAGAAAATTTATCAGTCTCCATATTTGAGATGTTGGTGCAGAATTATTGTGGTTCTGTGGTGATGTTTCTTTTAGTGTGATTCTTTTTCATGCTTTATGTACCTTCATTGATGCCTAAACATCTTGGAGTAGTTTCCTCCAGCTTTAAAGAGTGGCTTTCACAGGGAAAGACTTTCACTTGCAAACTGTCCCAAGGGTGTTAGTTGAAAAAGATGTACTGGTCCTGGCTTTGATGAGTGCTATTCAGTAGTCTCTATCTGGCTTCTTTAGCTGTGATCAGTGTCAGTAATGACTATTTCAATGGCTTTACTTGGTAGGAGTTTGTAGTGGCAAGCTTGATGGAGTAGCTCTTGTAGGCTTTTGGTAGTGAAGATTTTAATGGTCCTATTCCCACTTTTCCATAGTGAGACCTAAGTGAGGGGCTTTCCCTGGCCCCAGGTCTGACACAACCCACAGAACGCCACAGTAGTAATGTCTTCCAAATCAAAGATGTTCACAGTCTTTATGAATCTAGGATCCTGGGCTGTATTTTGCTGACCTGCTGTATACCTATGACATATGTGTAGGTTTACATTATAGGGCATGGGTAGATACAAGTCCCCTACGATTGTAGCTCTGGGGCACTCCTTTGTATTTCAGTCCCACAGGCAGGGATATATCTGTGACTCTAAACCCTGATCTAACAGTATTGGCCTGCTTCCAGTGAAGAACAGTGTTCCAGAAGTTTAAGCACTACAGAGAAAGATACAGTTATACTTCAAATTATTGAGCCTACAGGACAGAGTAGCAACTTGGGCACCAGGGGAAGATGCACATGTGGTAAAGACTCTGGACGCTGAAGAGATGGCTCATCCTCTTTGAAGTCAAATGCTGCATAAGTACTGAGGTATGGTGGCCTTCCTTGATGGCCAGGGTCTTTGCAGTCAGGGGGCAGTTTACTGATGGCTGTGCTACCCAGGACAGAAAGGCAGCTAAACAGCTTAGACTCTAGAAGGCTAGTCCAAATACAGGAATATAGGGCACTGTGGCTGCTCAGCACACAAGGGAGGGGTGGCACACTCAGACAAGGTTTGGTTTATCATGAGAAAGATGCCACATGGACTCAGGAACTTGGGGGCACTGCTACTCTGCTGGGCCTAGACTAAGAAGCCCGTGGAAAGGCAAAGCAGCAACTGGAATTGAGAGATGAATGACTCCTGGGTAGCTCATTCCAGAGGGCAGGGAAACATCATATTATTGTGTCTCTGTAGTGAGATGACACAGTGATGGTAGGGCCTAAGGGAGGAATGGCTACTGGGTGTGAGAGCAGCATGCACTCTAGCAGCGCCTTTGGTTTCAAGATAACACAGGACAGCAGAAGCTTTAGTCATGTATCACCTTTTATTACTACTTTGATCTTACTTTTATATTTTTACAAGATATCTACTTATTATTTTAGAATATTTTGCATTGGTATCATTTGTACTTAAAATATTTTTCTCTATAAATTAGCCAACAATGTACTTTACTGTCCTATTGGACATAGTCCCTTGCATTTGGACATCTTTGTTGCTTTTTGTTACTGCTGGCTATAATGAGTATATTGCATTGACCCTTTTTCTTTTTTCTTTTTCCTTTCTTTTCTTGGTGACTTTATCTTATTGGTACATTTTAGATAGGCATAATAATAGCATTCATCATAGGGAGTTTGTACCTGTACATGATACACCTTGCTGCTTCTTTTTTTCCTATTCCTTTTACTTCCTTTCAACTCCTCCTCTTTATTTACCAATGTTTTGTTTTTCCTTCTATTCTTTTTTATTATCTCTTCATTCCATCCCTCTTTGTTCCCCCCTTCTATTTGCATTGAGATTGTATTGACAGTCATTAACTTTTTTGCTGATATTTCACTAATGATACAAAGAAATTTTTTAAGATAAACATTATAAACCCATGCACTCACTTGCAAAAATAAAATTAGAATACATGAAAATTTATAACTTTCCCAAATAAAAATGTCTTTTTCAAATAAATTTCACTGAAAGACAAAGTTGGCATGCTTTTTCTTTTCTTACTACTTTCTACACACATAAGAAATTGAGAAAAATTTCTACTAACACGTAGAGTGCCACAATCACATTCTTCACCTTCTTCCCTTATTGAATTGCCACAGATTCTCCGTCGCCTTGGTGGGAACTGCTTATAAATTGGCATATCGTAAGAAGTGTTCCTGAGACAAGTAAGGCCATATTGTGATGCAAAATATTTAAAGTTATCCATGCTGCAAGTGCTAAAATCCTTTAAACCACTGGCAAACCTAAAATATAAACATATGAGCATAACAAAAATTATTGGTGTATAGCTCCACATATCTCTTAATACGATGTTTCAAAGAAAAGTTTCACAAGCATTATTCTACATGGAAAATAATAAGCACATGTTTAGAAATACTGATTAAATTGATATGTTATAACGTACTTTTATAATCCCACTAAGAAAAACTAAAGAACTAATATATTCCAAAAATTTTGGTCACACACACCATGTTTATATAAAAGCTAGTCCAGGTGATCCCTTAATATCTGCAAAGATCTGTTTAAAGATCCCTTGTGCCCCAAATCTCAGAAATAATAATGCACAAGCTCAAGTTCTTATAATTTATATGTTCAAAAAACACCTCCATTCCCATGTTTATTGCCATATTAGACACAATTGTCAAAATATGGAATCAAGAGCCAGTGCTGACATTTGCACAAGCAATGTGCCGATCCAGGCACAGAAGGACATTATCTATTGGTTAATGGAAATATTCAATAGCAAGAGTTAAGAATTATAAATATACATGTGCCAAACCACTGTGCACCCTACTTTATAAAACAAACTCTAATGGGCATAGAAGATCAGACAAACATCAATAAAATCATCACAAATACATCAACTATACAAAAAATTCAACTTTTGAACAAATGGATTTAAAAGATGTGTACAGACTGTTCCACTTAGCAACAGTAAAGTACACATTTCTTTTGGCCACACATAGGACTTTCTCCAAAATAGACAACATACTACTAGCTAATAAAGCATGCCTAAGTAAATGTAAGAGAATCAAAATTTTACTGTGCATATAATAAGATCAGAGTGAAGTAAAATTCAAAATCAAGCAAAAGATATTACAGAAACTATATAAACATGGAAGTTAAAATACACATCCTTGAATAATCGATGGATAACAGAAGAAATTAAGAAATAAGACAGTTCCTCAAATTAAATGATAATATTAAGATAATATGTCTAGAATTTTGGTACATACTGAAAACAGTCCATTAAGGAAAATTTATACCAATAAATGCCCACATCAGAAAAGTAGGATGAGCCCAAATAAATAGTCTAATGATTCATCCCAAGATCTTAGAAAAACAGGAACAATCCAAACCTAGATTTTATATAAGGACAGAAATCATAAAGAGCAGAGCAAAAATTAATGAAATGGACACAAAAAATACAAAGATTCAAAGAATAATTTCTTTGAAAGAATAAACAAAATCCACAAACTCTTAGCCAACCTTTCCAAAAATGGAAAGAAATGACACAAAATGAGTGCAGTTAAAAATGAAAAAGTTGAAATCACAAGAGACAATGGAAATCCAGAAAATTCATAGCATCTACTTCAGAAACACACATGCCAAACAATTGGAGAACTCAGAAGAAACAGAGTTCCTATATACACATGAAATGCCAAATTTGAACCAAAGAAATTTAAAAATCTTGAACAATCTAGTAAAAAGCAATGAAATTCAAGCACTAATAATAGAGAACTACCAACTAAGAAAAGTCCAAAACCTCATATATTCACAACCAAATTCTAGAAGAACTTCTAATACTAATACTTCTCAAACTTTTAATAAAATTGAGACGGACAGAGAACTTTCAAAATCACTCTCAGAAGGTAACATTATTCTGGTCCAAAAAACAGGAAAGGATCCAACCAAAAAAGAACTAAGGCCAATTTTTCTAAAGGTCATAGATGCAAATATTCTTAAGAAAACACTAGAAAGAGAATACAACAAATCATCAAAAAGGTCATATACCATGACAAAATAGGCTTCATCCTAGAGATGTAAGAATAGTTTGATATATGTAAATCAATGAATGAAATTCATTGCAAAAACCAAAACAAGGACAAAAATCATATGATCATCTCAATACAGTATTTCTCCAAAAATAAGACCTCACTGGAGAATAAGCTCAAGCATGATTTTTAGGAAGTTCATAATATAAGTCGTATCTCAACAATAAGTTCCAGTTAAGATCATCAGCCACATGGACACATTTAGGACATCCACTGTAACACATGACAGAAATATTGAAATATAATAGCATTACTATATAAATAGTAATATTAGTGACATTAACTTAAAATAAATGATAATATAAACTATAACTATTTGTAAATACCTAAGCAGGCAATGTGCACCAGAGGTAAATAGATTACTGTCTTACTTTTTACTCATTGCTGAGACAAAATACCTGAAGCCCAAAGTTGGGAAAGGAAAGGAAAGGTTTGTTTCTTACAGTTTTTGGAGGTTTCAGTCCATACTCAGTTGGCTCCATGGCAAGGTAGCATGGTGGGGCCGCAGTTCAGGCTGCAAACAGCAAGGAGGAACCAAGCAAGAAAGAGCAAGACACGCCTTCTTCCTGCCATTACATCACATCCTGGCTCCACCCCTATGTGGGTGGAGCACTGACACCATCAATCCAAGCACTAGACAATGAACCAATCACAAATACACAATGCAAACTCATGAGGCCTGGGGGCCACAGACATAAACCATGGCAATTTCCTTGAGACTTACTGCCAAATTACCAGGAGTACACACACACACACACACACACACACACACACACACACGAATAATGTGCACACTTGATGAAGAATGTAAGTGGTCTGTCTACTATGAATTTTCATAACTCCAAACATGGTGTATTGTAACAGACATATGTGATGCCCTCAAGTGAAACAAAGAAATGTTTTCTGAATTTTGGTGCCTGCAATTTTTCATCATTTTTGTGGGACCATTATTTTTAACCATCATCATTTTTATTGCCACTCTTGACTCCTAAGTCTCCAGTGAATACTCAATTTAATGGAAACTTTGTGAAACCCAGCCTGCAAGAAGTCATGACTTGGGTGAAGAATTCATGGGCAAAAATCAGTGATAGCTGTGTTACCAGTGCACTAGATACAGGCAACACAGACAAGAAGTGTTCATTCAAGGGGCTCTCTATTGCTCTACACGAGGGATTGAAGCCAACAGTTCTACAGAAAATAGAGTCACAAGAAATTCCAGAGGGAATTCTGAGCTTAGAGAGTTACAGCAATGTTCCAGAAGAAGACACGAGTGTACTGGAAACTCTGTTTTATTGTTACTTTTTTTTTCTCTTTAAAATAAAAAATAGGGCTAGGAGTTTAGCTCAGCGGTATAAGTGCCTGCCTGGCAAGCACGAGGCAATGAGTTCAACCCCGGTACAAAAACAAAACAACAACCACAAAAGAAAAAAACCAAACAAACAAACAATATGGTAGTTACTGTTAATTATGGGTTGTCTTGTGGTAAAATGCTGTGTTGCTTGTATTGTTCTGATCTGATCTGCTTTGTTATGTCTTCTTTTGTCTTAATCTCTTTAAAATAAACAAACAAAAAACTAAAAATATATAATGACTTTTCTAAACAAGTAAACATAGACTGTTGTACATGAAAAAATAAGACACCTGCTGCAATAAGCCCTGTTCAGAGTAAGAAATTTTTGGAGGAAAAATTAATATAAGACCCAGTATTACTTTTGGGGAAATACAGTAGGTTAGAGAAAAAGCCTTCGACAAAGTACAACATCCATTCACAATAAAATTCTAAAGAAACTAGCTGATAGAAGATTTTTTAATCTCAACATGATAAAGTCCTTTTATGACTAACCTACTGCTTATATCATATTAAATACAGAAAAACTGAAAGACTTTCCTCTAAAATCAGGAATAAGACAAAGATGTCCATTATCACCAGTCCTGTAAAATCCAGTCCTTGATATAGTACCTCAAGCAATCATGCAAGAGAAGGAAATAAAAGAGATACGTATAAGAAAAGACAAAGTCAAAATATCATTTGCAGATGACGTGATCTTTTATTTACAAGACACAGAACACCCTACCATAAGACTCCTAGTATTCAGCAGTGTAGCAGGATATAAAATAAATACACTAAAATCAATAGCATTTCTATACAATAATAATGAACTCACTGAAAAAGAAATTAGGAAAACAATATCATTCACTATAGCATTAAAAATATTAAATATGTAGGTATTGACAAGGAAATGAAAGAGTTCTGCCATGAAAATTGCATCAGATTGAAAAAATAAATCGAGGAGGACATCAGAAAATGGAACGATACCCTCTGTTCTCCGTTGTTATGTTATTCATAACATAATCAAAATGGCTATCCAGATATTCAACATTTAATAACTTAACTATTTAATGACTGAATTTATGGTCTACACCTGAACTTACAACCTATCTCTTTTTGGTACAGCTATGTACATCTTGTTTGTAGAGAATGTCTTATTTTTAATTTAAAGAGAATTTAAAATCAATTCAGAATTTCAAAACAACATGATAGGAAATTGATAGTAGTTAGTATATTGCATATTGTTGTCTTTAAAATAGTAGCTCAGATGACCAGATCAGCCATGAAAAATTGATCAAAAAATGTAAGCACTAACTGATCCTCTTCATGAACTAAGAGTGAGCAGTAGCATTATCTTAACTGCATTATGTGTTACATATTTTGCCTTCCTTTTCTCCTTTCCACAATCCCACTTCTTCTTTCCCTTTGAGCAGTTTCTTTCCCTTTCACAATATCTATTGTACCCTTTGCATCTTATTTAGTCTTTCAGTTTCTTATACTAGGGAGACAATATGATGTTTACACATGCAAGTTTGATTTTTTTCACTTATGAGTATGGCTCTAGTGCATCTATTTACCTATGAAAGCCTTGAGTTTATCTGTCTTTATAGCCGGGTAGTACTCCATTGTATAAAAATATCACATTTTTTAAATTCATTCTTCAGTTGATGGGCAGTTGGATTGTTTCCAAGATTTAGCTACTGCAAATTGTGCTGCTATAAACATAGGTTCACATATATTGCTATAAACTAGGTATAGAAAATTTTTATCAAAGATCTAAATGTTAAAAGAGAAACAGTTAATCTACTGGAAGATAAATAGATACAACTCTTAAAGACAGACATAAGCAAGGACTTTCTGAACAGAGCCCCAGTGACACAGGAAATAATACCAGGAATCATCAAATGGGATCATATCAAATTAAAAAGCTTCTGGATAGCATAGGAAACAAAACAAAGTGAAGAGACAATCCAAAGAATGGAAAAAAATTTTGGCAGCTATTCCATGGACAAGAGACTAACACAAAGAATATATAAACAAATAAAAAATAATATAGTCCCCAAAATAAAAGACCCAATCAAAATAGGCAAATGAAATGAATAGGTATTTCTCAATAGAAATACAAATGGCCAATAAATATGTGAAAAAGTGCTCACCATGGCATACAATTAGAAAGATTCCATTAAAATCATACTGAGATGCCATCTTACCTCAGAAAGAATAGCAATCATCAAAAATCTAGTAATAACAAATGTTGGCAAGAATGTGAGGTAAAAATGAACTCTTCTACATGCCAAAGGGAATGTACATTAGTACAACCACTTTGGAAATCAATGTGGAGATTCCTCAAAAAACTAAAAATAGAAATTCCTTTTGATCCAGCTACCCCTTCCTGGCATCTTCTGAAAAATAATAATTATATACCAGGGATACACATATACCTATGTTTATAGCAGCAAAATATGTAACAGCTATATTTTGGAAACAGCATATATGTCCATGAACAGATAAATGAAGAAGGGAAATGTATTTATACACCATGGAGTAGTGTGTTGCTGTAAAGATAAATTTGAAGCATGCAGAGATAAGTGGATACAACTTTAGAACATAATGTTACGTGAAATAAGCCAGACAAACAAGTGCAAATATTTGATGGTTTCTCTTATATGAGAAACACAAAAGAGCTATAAATATACAGATAAACAGCAAAATAAAAAAGAGATAAATAGAAGATAGGGTGAAGTTCAATTGCTTTCCCAAGTTACCTATTTTATATTTTAAAAATATTTGCATACGTATGCCAATTCCTTTCATTTATTTTTCTTATAGTGTTGAAAAGAAAGTTTTGTATTACTATTTATTGCTTTTTGTAAGAACCTTTTTGGTTTAAGTCTTACACTCTCAGTAACTACTTTGAAGATAATGATACAAAGTGTATTAACTACTGCTATTCTCTTACTATTTTGCAATGAAATCCTACTTTTACATAAAATCTTAAAAATTTTAAGAGGTTATCAGATTAATAACCTTAGGTAGTTATTTTTAAAGAGATATGGAATCAACCTAAGCATTTATTAACAATGGACAAAGAATATATAGTATATTTATGCAACGGAATACTACTCACTCATAAAAAGCCAGGAAATATATGTATTTTATCTCTATAATATGTATCATATATATGATAGTTAAGATAGTTATACTACTAATTTATACTACTTTCTAGTATACTACTAGTAGCAATATACTACTAATATACTACTATCTAGTATACTACTATAGTTAAGGTACTTATAATACTAATTTCACCGGTTTATGTTTATATTATTTGATCCATTTTTTCATGCCTCCATTCTGTAATGTGAGCAACTACTTTGAAGATAATACTCAACACGTTAACCTTGTTACTCTCCGCTCTTGTTTTTAAATTTTATACCATAGTTTTTATTGTTTTTTCTCTTTAAAATAAAATTTTAAAAGTATGAGTCCTATCATGTGCAGCATGGATTACCCCAAACAACACTGCATTATGTGAAATAAATAAGGTCCAGAACAGCAAATACCAAATCAACTCACCCATATGTAGAATATAAAGAAGTTTGTTTCATAAGAGTTAACAGTAGAATAGTGCTTACCAGAAGCTAGAGAAACCAAAGGAAAGAGGAAACAGCAAAAAATCAGTAGATGCAACATTATGATTTGATAGGAGGAATACATTCTAATATTCTGGGCCAGGGATTTAGCTCAGCAGCTCAAGTGTTTGCCCGAGAAGCGCGAGGTCGTGAGTTCAATCCTCACTACAAAAAAGAAAAAAATCTAGTGTTCTCTGGCATAGCACAGTGAATATAATTAAAACAAGATGTTATCTCAAAACAGATAAGATGATTTGGAATGCTTTTATCATAAAGAAACAAGAAAAGTTTAAGGTGATGGGTATGTCAGTTACTCAGGGTTGGTCAATATATACACAAAGCAAAACATCATCATAATCTGATAAATATGACAAATATTATACGACAATTAAAAGTAAAAATGGCAAAAGGTAACACTGCCAGTAAGGAAGTACAAAAAAAAATCCTTGTACAGTACATTGGTAGAAACTTAAATTACTAGTCATTATGAAAAACAGTATGAAGGTTCCTCAAAAAGTTAAAAATGCAATTACAGTATAACCCAGAAATGCAAGTTCCAGCAATATATATATACAAAGGAAGTGAATTCTGTGTGTTGAGGAGCATTTATTGTAGCGCCATTCACAACAGTCAAGATACAGAATAAGTGTCTAATGCTTGCACAAATCAAGAAAGCATGCCACACACATACACAGGGAAACTCCTCAGGCATGGATGAAAAGAGGAATTCTGTCATCTATGACATCATGATGGGTCTGGAGGATGTTATGTTAGACACATGCTGCGCATGGAAAGGCAAACCCAGCATAATCTCACTCCTATGTACGAAATCAAAGCGTCCATCTCACAGAAGTGGAGAGCAGAATAATGATTCCCACCGGCTGGAGATGGAAGGGGAAAGGAGGGATGAACTGCTGGTGAATGCAGATGAAATTACATTTATGTCGAAGGAATGTGTCTGAAATTCTAGTGCAAATAGTGACGTAATATATAATGTACACTTACAAGAAGCTAGAAGAGGATTTTGAACGTTTCACCACAAAGATAAGTACTGAAGTTTATTAATATGCTCATTACCCTAATTTCCATTATTACTAATGTACATATACATTGAAACATCACATTTTACTCTGTATATTGCTATATTTGGTATATATCGATTAAAAACATTTTTTAAGAAGTTAAAAACCAGTTAACCTTCAAGTGTGGCTTCATTTCTGAGGTTTCTAACCTATTAAATTGCTTCTTGTGTACATTTCTTGCTCAGATGACACTTTTTTTTACTACATATTTGTAATATATTTTGATATCAGATAGCATGAGACCTCTAGTTTTGTTCTTTTAACTCATGATTACTTTGGCTGCTCAGAATCTTAATTAGATGCAAATTTTATGATATTCATGTAATTTTTCTGAAAAATGATGTTAGAATTTTAATATGGATTGCATAAAATCAATATTTTGCTTTGGCTAGAATGGATAATTTAATAATCATTTTATTGAACACAGTCTAGCTTTTCATTTATGTCTTCTTCAATTCATCTCATCAAAAGTTTGTATTTTTCAGTATATAAATCCTTTGGCACCTCTAAAACTATGAAAATTATTTGATTCAATCATTGAAGATATCCAGCTAGTCAAAAGAAACTCAAGGAAAATCCAGATTCTGCAATATAGGACAGAGGACGAGTTCCTCATAAAGAGTACTTTGCCTGTACTGGTATGTGTTCCCTTTGTTCTGAAGTTGTCTAGTGGCAGTATGATACATTGTTAGTCACATTAACTTTATTAATAAAATACAAAACTAACAAAGAAGAAGGGAGAAGATATCAATGTATTTAATAAAGGAAACTTTCTTACACTGCTTCTTGTGTCATTGTGCAAACATCTGTTGAGCAGTAGCAGCTGTCAGAAGTGTCATACATGACTCCTGCACTCAGGCTCAGCAACTGCACAATAATGACAGCGAATGACTCCAGGGATAAACCGGCGGGATACTAAATAAGAAGTAAATAGGGAGAAATTATTGTGATCAGTTATAAAATAAAGCAATATTAAGCATAATGAAAAAATAGTGTGCTAATGCAACTGCAGTACAATTAAAGTTTTTGATAATAGAGTTGGATACACGGATGAGTCAATGTAGCAGCTAGCTTCAAAATACTATGAAACTTAATGACAATTGAAGAGCTACACTTAATCTTAAACACCATCTTTGTGGTACTTCTCTGAATTATTTAAACAAAATGGTTCTAACCTTTTACTTTAATAGTTAATTCTACATTCCTTCCATAGCAGGCAGCTTCTGAGATGAGCCCTAGAAATTCTTGCTTCCTGGATGTGACTCTTTCCACAGAGTATGGGCTGGATTTGATCTGCTTCCAATTAGCTGAATGCAGCAGAAATAGCATGTAATCATTTCTGAGATAGCCTATGAAAAACTCAGGTCCTCACTCCTTCTAGGGGAAGCCAGCCAATTCACTGTAAGGCGGACAGTGGCAGAGGCCCATGTGAATGAGCCTGGAAATACGGTTTTCTGAGGTTGGTCAGCAGCTGGGTGACAGCAAGAGCAAGATTGCCCTCCCCGGGCAGCTGAGCCTTTCCTTCCTTACATCTCAATTGCAGCCTTGTAAAAATTCCTAGTTCTAAACCACCCACAAAGCTTATTCCATATTCCTGATTCGCAGAACTGTATTGCTTTTATTTGCTAAAAGTTTTGTTTGAGTTATTTATACCACAGTCTCAAAAGACATTATTGTTCTCCAGTGTATCATTTCCAAATTCTGTTTTCTCTTAACAGTTCTGCTGAGAAGATAAAGAATGTTGTATAGGAAGAGAAAACAGCTGTCTACGTAGGTCTGAATTGTTGCCTTGAAATGAGGGCAACCCTGAAAATACCTTTCAATCCCTTCATTATTCGCAGGCATTAGTTTGTATATTTAAGTGTTTTAGATAATATCAATCTCCACAACATGCAGCAAGATAGTAGGAACACCTGAACATCTCCACGATACCACATAGCAGCACTGCAGAAGGAAGTTGACTGGTCTTGCACACTAATTTAAAATCCTGTAACATAACAAAGTAGTTGGTTTTAATGGGCCACGAGAAAGAGAGTGCCAGCAGTGAGGGACTGGCAGATAATTAACAGCTCAGAAGAGCCAGGGCCATAACTAATGCGGACACGGGTAGGAATCTCAAGAAAAAAAATCATACATCCAAGCACAGCCAAAGATTAAGTGTTGGTTAGAACAAAATGTTATTTATGAAGACATAATAAAAAATAATATACTTGAAACTAAATTTAACAAAGAAAATATAATATCTATGCACTGAGGACCATAAAATATTGATGAACCAAAAGATTCTAATACATGGAAATCTCATTGTCATGGATTGTAAGAACTGACATCATAAAAATATCTACACAAAGTTATAAGCAGAGTCAGTGCAATCACTATAAAAATCTCAATGGGTTTCCTCAAAGAAATAGAAAAAAAATCAAAAAACTTGCAAGGACTCTCGAAAACGTCACAGTATTTACAAAAACATATAGGTCAGTAGAACAGAATAGAAATACCTCATCTTACTCCATACATACAGAGTAGAGCAATGTCAACAATCAATGAGAAAAGTCCTCTCCTCCGTAAATGGCCCTGGGAAGAGTGGACATTCACATGTACATAGGTAACCAAGTAGAAGTAGCCCGTACCTTACACCATATGCAAAAATCAACTCAGAAGACTTAACCATAAGACCAGAAGAAGAAATTCCTAGAAGAAAACTAGGGAAAGACTTCTTGACATTAGCCGAGGCAATGGTTTCATGACTACAATCACAAAAGGTCACACACAAAATGAAAAGGAAATATGAATCAATATCAAACTTATAAAGCTCCTTCACAGCAACTGGAACAACCAACAACTGAAGAAACAACCTGAGAAACAGTAGAAAACATTTGAAAACTGGATAGAAACAGAGATAGATATAGATAGATGATATAGATATAAGTACAGATGTAGATGCTAGACATAGACACAGATATAGACCTATAGATTCATAGAGACATAGATAGAGACACATCTATAACATAGAGATAATATCTAAAGTATATATTTATATAATATATGAAATATATATAATAAATTGTTGCAATTCAACAGAAAAGTAAATTAATGAATAACATAATTTTAAAATGTTCAAGCCCTGAGGAAGTGAAACGTTTCTTTGAAGAAGTTACCAGTGATCGACAATAAAAGGTTCTCAACATCACTCATCGTCAGGGAGATAAATGCCAGCTGAAATCATAGCAATGTCACCTCACTTCACTTCCAGGATGATTACTGCTTTTAAAAAGATTTTTTAAAAAGTTATCAAAATAATAAAAGGGGAAAACAAGATCCCACTGTTAATGGGAACCTCTGTGGTGCTGCTGGTTACAACAAGGAAGTTATGAAGAAATTAAACTAGAACTGTTATATGATCCAGCAATCCCACCTCTGGTTGTGCACACACAGGAACAGGAACCAGAAAAATGAAGAAATACTGCATTCTTGTTTTCATTGCCGCATGATCCATGCTAAGACAAAGAAGCAACCTAAATTTTCATCAACAGAGGAAGAAAGGCATATGAAAAATATAAAAAACATCAGTGAGAGCGAGAAGAGGTGGATGAGGAGAGAAAGAAAGAAACTGTGCCATTTGTAACTACACAGATAAACCTGGATTATGTTATACAAAACAAGTTTATGAAGTAATATGTACAGTTGTATTAATGGTATGTCAGATGCAAAAGTAAGTAAATGACATGTCAGGTACCAAAGATAAATGATATGTCAGATACAAAAGGAAGTAAAACAAAAAACACTACATTCACAGAGAATCTAAAGTAGGCAAACTAGAAGGTCAGTCACCCCGAGGAAGAGAGCCAGCATTTCAGCAGCAGCCTGGTCAGTAGAATAGGCTCCCATTCCTGCCACCTTCCTCACCAGCAGAGGAACGTGATAATTGAGGTACTGCACAAAACAGGGCATCAGAGAAACGAAGCTGGAGAGTGGTGTATCAGAGGACACCAGCCGGCCCTCAGGAGTCTGAAAACAAGCATGATGCCATTCCAGTTAAGGACTTGAGCCTGACCACCAGGAAAACTGCCTCCGCAGCTGTGTGGTGAGCAGCATCTGTGAATGACAGGCCTCTAAGGAAAGAAGCCAGACTGACACAGAGATAAGTACTCATCCCTTCCTTCCCCAAACGCCAGGAGAGTTGTGCTCACCGGATATCCTGCATGCCTTTCGTACCTGCTAGGGAGCACCCACAGGGGAACTCCTACCACTGCTGCCAGGTACTCCTGAAAACAAGGAGTGACGCTTCGGGGATTGACCAAGAAAATACTGTGGGTGGAGAGACAGAGTAGGAGTACCTTGGTCAGAGAACAGCCAGGGACATGTAGAGGCACCCACAGGGTTTGCACTGGGGAAAGAAACCAGGAACCAAGAGGACCGTGCTGGAAATCAATAGAAAACTAGGTGAAGGATCAGGGCCAGTTATACTAGACCCTCCTCTCCCCAGAATAACAGGTAGTTGATCTAGAAACAGAAGCAAAGGCTACAGTTAGCCACACCCCATGCATGGGCCACAGGTCTGAGTGTCACAACCAGTAAAGGAGCCCCTTGACCACAGGCAGGCAAAAAGCAACCCAAGGAGAGAGACCAACCCAGAGACCTGCAGCTGAACTCAAACTGCAACACAAATGGAACTGGGGGGATGCCTGGATTTTGCACTTTTGCAGCTGCCTGACATTTATCTGTTGTTACTGTTGCTTCCTCTTTATTTTTTCTTTAGCTTTTCTATTTTACCTTTTTCCTATTTTTGCCAACTTTTTCTTTATTCTTCTCTCTGCCAATCTCTCTTACCTCTTTATCTTCCCTATATTCCTTTCCTCTTTTGGCAAATATGTAAGTGTCAATGTATGTGCCAAGGAGAATAAATATTAACCAATGCTTTAATTTAAATAGTAACAGTCATGGGCAAATCAGGGCAAATCATCAAACTGGGTGGGAGCTATCCAAACATAAGCTAACCACCAACATATTAACAGATTCTGGCAATCTAACAATTTCCCTCAAACTCTAATTACACCTCTTTCCCTTTGCATTCCTTCTCTGGCTCCCAAAACATTCTTTCAAATCCCCAAAACAAGTCCTTTACTTTATCTATATCTATAAAAATAATTCCAACAGAGTCTAATCTCATGTGTACCTTTTAGCTACTGCTATTTCTCTTCTCCTCTTCTCACAGCATGCACCTTTTCTTTCCTTTTTCCTTTTTCTATCCCTCATTCCTCCACATCACAGGCTGTTAGTAGCAGTATAGTACAGTCTATCAGGGACACAGATAAAATAAAAAGTTTCATTGTACATGATTAATGTGTGATTGTATGTGTTGGCATTGAAATAACCAGTAGGCTTCTCTAGTTGCAACACATAGGTGCAATCCTATTAAGCTGATAGATCAAAGAGGTAAGTACCAAAAAGCAACCAGAGCCAACACCACATCACTAGAAAGCAGATACTAAGTAAAGAGACTTCCATACTAACAACAGTGTCTTTCCACTGTAATTGATCCTCAACCTACAGCACACACACACACACACACACACACACACACACACACACACACAGAGGCAAGCAAATAAAATCATGAGAAAACAGAACAACAAAATGCCTCCCAAAACACTTAACTCCCCCAAAGTTAATCAAATGGGCATTGTAAGAAATAATAAAACAAGTGACTGAATTACATGAAATGGTAAAAGAAGAAACAAACCAATAAGCCATACCAATAAGGAGTGCTTAAAAATCATAAAACTAAATGGATAATGAAGTTGCTAAACAAAATGGTCCAAAAAAATTCAAAAGAAAACTAGCAGAGTTAATAAAAATGATCCGAGACACGAATGAGCTGTTTAGCAAAGAACCAGTGTCTATGAAAAGGTAAG